GTTATGGACCCTGACACTGAAATACACATGCTCACACAGATACACTGATACACATGCTCACACAGATACACAGATAAACATTCCAGACATCGTCATGGATACATACACACATACACAGATATATACTCACAGATGCACAAGGATACTCACTGCCAGATACACACTCACAGTTACACAATGACAGACATGCATACACGGGTAATAATAAACACTTCCAGACTCACATTGATTGTGTGTGTGTAGCTGTCAACCTGTGTGTATCTGTGAGTAATAATGTGGCTCTGTACATTAATGTATATGAGTGTAAATGTATCAGAGCGTATATTATTATTACTATTATGTTATTAAATATATATAGCGCCAGCAAATTCCGTAGCTCTGTACATTCTGTGGACTAACAGTCACGTAATTGTTACCAGACATGTTGGACACACAGGAACAGAGGGGTTGAGGGCCCTGCTCAATGAGCTAAATGCTAGAGGGAGTGGGGTATAGTGACACAGAAGGTACAAGTAGAGGTAATGAAATAGAGTGTTAGAAAAGTATTCACTGAGAACTTAGTAGGTTATATTTGACAGTTGCTGGAGAGGATTCATGGGGGTGAATGAAAACCCTCTAACAGTTTAAATGATATGCTTTCCTGAAGAAGTGTGTTTTCAAAGATTTTTTGAAGAACTAGAGACTGGGGGAAAGTCTAATGGAGAAGGGAAGGGATGCAAGCATCAAATGTGGGAGTACGGACAGAGGTATATGTGTGCATGTATCAGTGTCTATATGCGTGTAAATGTATCAGATGGTGTATATATGCGTGTAAATGTATCAGAGGGTGTATATATGTGTGTAAATGTATCAGAGGGTGTATATATGTGTGCATGTATCAGATGGTGTATATATGTGTGCAAGTATTAGATGGTGTATATGTGTGTAAATGTATCAGAGGGTGTATATATGTGTGCATGTATCAGATGGTGTATGTGTGTGCATGTATTAAATGGTGTGTATGTGTGTAAATGTATCAGAGGGCGTATGTGTGCATGTATCAGAGGGTGTATATATGTGTGCATGTATTAGATGGTGTATATGTGTGTGAACATATCAGAGGGTGTATGTGTGCATGTATCAGAGGGTGTATGTGTGCATGTATCAGAGGGTGTATGTGTGCATGTATCAGAGGGTGTATGTGTGCATGTATCAGATGGTGTATATATGTGTGTAAACGTATCAGAGGGTGTATATAAGTGTGCATTTATCAGATGGTGTATATATTTATGTGTGTGTGTGTGTTTGTGTGTCCCCAAAGAGGAAACATGGCTGAAAATGTGAGGGTGATATGATATTGGCAATGTTATGATAATGTTGTTACATATGCAGTATACAAGCAGCAATAAATAAATAAATGTATATACACAGAGGACCGAGTGCATATGGAATAATGTATATGTGAGAGAATAATTATTGTGCTGTTTGTGCATACTGAAATAATTATATGTGTAATCATTACTTTCCAGGACACCAAGTTTACTCGGACTATGGCAGTGTTTGTTTTTTTGCAAATCCCTTGGTAGTGAAAGGGTTAAAGGGCGGAGTAACAGTTTTATACATAAGAAAACGGCACAAACGTCAAAATGAAAGCTGCGTTTTCTTCTATATGGCTTGATATGGTAAATAGCCTGGTCCTTTCATTCACACCTGATACAATTGTGTTTAATGTATCACTATAACATTCTCTTACAGCTCAATTTCCGAAATTGTACATTCGTCACCTATATCTCTACTGCTTGGACATGTCTTTTCTCTCGTCCATCATATAGCTTGGGCTGTATCTGTCCTCTTTCTCATCATTTCTTCTGCTCTCCAGCATATCCTCCTCTCTCCTGCCTTGATTCCTCTCACCTCTAACCTTTCCCTCTCTATATCTCCATCATTATAAATCCTCCTGCATCGAATAACCCTTTGACCTTTACACATTCATTCCTCATAAAGATACATCTCTTCAATAACTCTGCCTATCTGTGCTCTTCCTCTACTTCCTCTGAATAATGTGTGTCGGTGCCGGGTTATTCACGTAAGGACATGAGAATAAAATATGTCTGAGCTTCACCCAACAAACAAGCCTGATGGATCCTGAAAGTTTGCCAAATATCCCTTTTGATTAGCCAATAATAAAGGTATCCATTTTGTATTGTATTCTCTACATCGGGGAAGGCAACCTTTAACACTCCAAATGTTGTGGACAATTTAAAATCTTCCCTAAGCCTAAAGTCATTTAAGAGATCCCTCTCTACATACCTCAAAACAGAATGCACGTGTCATGGTTGATTATATATTTCCTGCCTGTTCTATGTTACATTTTGTATATATTGTGTATTAATATTGTTTTTGTATTTTGTTGTACCTAATGTAACAATGCAATGATTTGTGGACCCAGGACATACTTGAAAACGAGAGAAATCTCAATGTATCTTTCCTGGTAAAATATTTTATAAATAAATAAATAAAATAATAACAAAATTAAATAATAATAATAATAATAATAATATAAAGATCAACAGATACATAATAAACTTATAATCTAAGGAAGTGGGTATAAACTCTTGGTTAATGACCCAAAAATTGGTACCAGTTTTTGGAACAGGCACATTATATTCATCAGGTCCCAGGCAATTGCCTTCAATAAATAGTTACCATAGCAACACTGTGTTTCCTAATCCAATCATTAGACACTATACAACTGTCCTTAATGTGGGAGGTATGTGCCCTGACATCTGTATTAGAATAAGGTTAGAGGTATGTGCCCTGATATCTGTGTATTAGAATAACGTGAGAGCTATGTGTCCTGATATCTGTGTATTAGAATAACATGAGAGGTATGTGTCCTGATATCTGTGTATTAGAATAAGGTGAGAGGTATGTGCCCTGATATCTGTGTATTAGAATAACATGAGAGGTATGTGTCCTGATATCTGTGTATTAGAATAACGTGAGAGGTATGTGTCCTGATATCTGTGTATTAGAATAAGGTGAGAGGTATGTGCCCTGATATCTGTGTATTAGAATAACGTGAGAGCTATGTGCCCTGATATCTGTGTATTAGAATAAGGTGAGAGGTATGTGTCCTGATATCTGTGTATTAGAATAACGTGAGAGCTATGTGCCCTGATATCTGTGTATTAGAATAACGTGAGAGGTATGTGCCCTGATATCTGTGTATTAGAATAACGTGAGAGGTATGTGATCTGATATCTGTGTATTAGAATAAGGTGAGAGGTATGTGCCCTGATATCTGTGTATTAGAATAACGTGAGAGGTATGTGTCCTGATATCTGTGTATTAGAATAAGGTGAGAGGTATGTGCCCTGATATCTGTGTATTAGAATAACGTGAGAGGTATGTGTCCTGATATCTGTGTATTAGAATAACGTGAGAGGTATGTGCCCTGATATCTGTGTATTAGAATAACGTGAGAGGTATGTGTCCTGATATCTGTGTATTAGAATAAGGTGAGAGGTATGTGTTGCGTTCCCCAATTTGGTGGAGACCCCAATAACACTGGGAAGAGTCTATAGCATCCACGCTTTGTACATTTTTTGGGTCTTTAAAAATATAAAACTGCAATTCGAAAGACACCCTGTTTCTCCAAATAAAGAGTATACTATCTTTAAATCTATTCAACTTTACTCATTCTCCTTCCAAATAACAATGTAATTTATTAATCCTACAATTCATTATCTGTTATTATATCAATTGCCCACGTCTTCTTATACCCCTGCTTCTCTTACATTTCTACCCATGCCACCTACTACTAAACCTCCTTCTTCTACATCTCCTCCTATCAACCATCAATCCAAACCTTTTCCCCACTTTTATACACATGGATGTTAAATTTATGTCAAATTGTCCTAATTCAATGCAATTAAATCCATCTTTCATACACGTATAATCCCCCTCTATAACATTGTATCTCTTATCTATCTATATTTCTCCTTTATCCTTTGCTATCCATTTCTCTTACACCTATTATCTCTCTTTCTCTCTTCTACAGTACTTCTGTAACCCTTTCTCCAACAATGCACCCTTCATCTTTCTCTCCCTCCTACATTGTTACTATGCTCACCCACATCTCTCCCTGACCAATCTATACAAGGGCGCTATGTAAGAATATGACACGTATAAAATAACTGCAAATGTATCTTCTTCCCCCTCTTTCTTTTTGTCTGTGTCTCTCCCACCGATGTACATTTTTTTTTAAACCACCTCCATCTTCTCCCTCTTACATTCCTCCTTCACTTCTCTGTGCCCACGTGCCAGTCTCTGAGTGGGTACTGTGTGGAAAAATAGGGGGAGGGTAACTGTTACCCGCCTGGGCTCATTGCCTTCTCTCTTTTCGATGCCTGGCACAAACATGAACACGCTTTCTTTATTATCTGTTGGCAGAATGGGCGGAATGGGGGGGGGGAGGGTGACATAGATTGGCACCAACTCAGTCAGGTGACAGATCAATGATTTCTCTTTAATGTCTCCTCTTTTAGATCATTCCTCCTTAATTTACCCTCTGCATCTATTCTCCCTTGCCCACAGAACCTTCTCTGTCTCCATTTCTGTGCCCATCTCTGTCTCTGGCAATTTGAGGCTGAATAAATGAATGTCTGTGGGAGGGTTAGAGGGAGAGAGGGATAAGGAGAGAGAGAGGGAGAGAGAGAGAGAGAGATGACAGGAGGGAGAACGGTAGGGGGGGGTCTAGATGTTCTTTCCTCCATAAAGGGGGAGGGGAGCAGAAAAAAGGATTTCTGATCGGGGAGGGCAGAGAGGGATGATATAGGGAGACAGATGCAGAGAGCAGAGAAAGCAGCAGAGAGAAAGAAAAGGACAGAGAGAGAGAGAGAGAGAGAGGGAGAGAGAGAAGAGGATTGAGCTGGGAGCATCCATCCGGTAACCTGTCTCATGCTGTTTTATTGCCATCTCATGTTTCTATATGTCTTGAATAGACTCCATTTATATTCCACAGAGGGACAATACTATGCATTAATTAGGGATGTGATGACAGGTATGTGACCTGATAGCAAAGTACCAGTTAGAGGCAAGATGTAGGGATCCTGGTATCTGTGTATTGCAATTTGAAGAGAGGTATGTGTCCTGATATCTGTGTGTTAGAATAGGAAGGTATGTGTCCTGATATCTGTGTGTTAGAATAGGAGACGTATGTGTCCTGATATCTGTGTGTTAGAATAGGAAGGTATGTGTCCTGATATCTGTGTGTTAGAATAGGAAGGTATGTGTCCAGAGATCTGTGTATTAGAATAGGAGACGTATGTGTCCTGATATCTGTGTGTTAGAATAGGAAGGTATGTGTCCTGATATCTGTGTGTTAGAATAGGAAGGTATGTGTCCAGAGATCTGTGCATTAGAATAGGAGACGTATGTGTTCTGATATCTGTGTATTAGAATAGGAAAGTATGTGTCCTTATATCTGTGTATTAGAATAGGAGAAGTATATATCCTGATATCTGTGTTTTACAATAGGAGACGTATGTGTCCTGATATCTGTGTATTAGAATAGAAGAGGTATGTATCCTGATATCTGTGCATTAGAATAGGAGAGGTATGTATCCTGATATCTGTGTATTAGAATAGGAAAGTATGTGTCCTGATATCTGTGTATTAGAATAGGAGAGGTATGTGTCCTGATATCTGTGTATTAGAATAAGGTGAGAGGTATGTGATCTGATATCTGTGTATTAGAAGAGGAGACGTATGTGTCCTGATATCTGTGTATTAGAATATGAAGGTATGTGTCCTGATATCTGTGTATTAGAATAGGAGAGGTGTGTGTCCAGATGTCTGCTATTGCAATAAGAAGAGAGGTAAGTGTCCTAAAATATATGCTTTAGAATACGGTGAGAAGTACTATGCGATCTGATATCTGTGTATTAGAATAAGGTGAGAGGTATGTGATCTGATATCTGTGTATTAGAATATGAGAGGTATGTGCCCTGATATCTGTGTATTAGAATAAGATGAGAGGTATGTGATCTGATATCTGTGTATTAGAATAAGGGGAGAGGTATGTGATCTGATATCTGTGTATTAGAATAAGGTGAGATGTATATGCCCTGATATCTGTGTATTAGAATAGGAGAGGTATGTATCCTGATATCTGTGTATTAGAATAGGAGAGGTATGTGATCTGATATCTGTGTATTAGAATAGGAGAGGTATGTATCCTGATATCTGTGTATTAGAATAGGAGAGCTATGTGATCTGATATCTGTGTATTAGAATAGGAGAGGTATGTATCCTGATATCTGTGTATTAGAATAGGAGAGGTATGTGATCTGATATCTGTGTATTAGAAGAAAGTGATAGGTAGGTGTCCATATGCATGTCTGTGTATCTGGTGCTCCTGGGAGGTATATGCTTTATTGTCTGTAAATTAGGAAGACATGAAGGTGTGTGTCCCCTTATATATGTGTGTTAGGAGATTGCAGGATGTATATGTATATTGTATAAGGACCAGGTAAAAAGTATTCTGATGTCCGTGCATTAGGAATATGGAAGACGTACCTGTCATGATGACTGTGAATTATGGGAATGTAAGAGTTTTATGTCCTTATATCTGTGTAGTAGAAAGATGGGAGAGGTAAGTGTCCTGAAATCTGTGTATTAGAAAGAGGGGAGAGGTATGGGTCCTAAAAACTGTGTATTAGAAATAGGGGAGAGGTAAGGGTCCTGAAATCTGTGTATTAAATAGAGGACGAGAGGTAAGTGTCCTGATATCTGTGTATTAGAAAGAGGGGAGAGGTAAGTGTCCTGATATCTGTGTATTAGAAAGAGGGGAGAGGTAAGTGTCCTGATATCTGTGTATTAGAAAGAGGGGAGAGGTAAGTGTCCTGAAATATGTGTATTAGAAAGAGGGTAGAGGTAAGTGTTTTGATAAATGTGTATTAGAAAGAGGGGAGAGGTAAGGGTACTGATATATGTGTATTAGAAAGAAAGGAGAGGTAAGAGTTCTGACACATTTTTATTAGAAGGGGGGAGAGGTAAGTGAATAAAATGAAGGGGAAAGGTAAGTGTCCTTATATTTGTGTATTACAAAGAGGGGACAGGTAACTATCCTGATATAAGGCTGTGTATTAGAAAGGAGTGTGTTAAGTAGCTGCCTGTGTATTAGAGGTAAATGTATGTATCTTACCTAGAGATTTAAGGCAATGGGTGAAATGACTCTGGGTAAAAAACTTAACAGGAACTGTGACATTCAGCTTCACCTGCAAAGTCATTCATTTTTCACCCATAGTGCCATATGGGAACAGGAGTTATAACCGCATTCAATGCGCTACACTGAAAGTATGCAGATCTCTGCAAGACACTTCATTCTGAGTCTTCCGATTTTCCATTATTTATCCAAAAACATATAATCGCATATATAAGGCACTCAAGGTAACATTGGTCAGTGTTTTTTGTAGATCCTTACTTTATTTATATATTTCTTTTGCAAGGTGTCATAATAATACAATTTGAACCTAAATAACGTTTTGCAATCCCTCACATTTATTTCTAAACTTTCTAAGAGCCCTCTAAACTTTCTCCAATGCAGAGAGAGGTAAAACTGTGTTTGCCACACATTTCAGTTTAACTAGAACTGTGATATCTGAGATTGGAATAGTATTTAGGGTTTGGGGTCCTTTAACATTGGGGTTTTACGGTTAGTTACGGGAGGTGTTTAAGCTTAATGTTAAGGATAAGGTTAAGGAGCAGTGTTCGGGGATAATATTTACAGTTAGAGTTATATTTAAGATGTATGTGTCTATTGAATAAATCAATAGTATTAACAGGACTTAGTGGAAATGGAACTTAAGGATAAAAATATCTTAATAAATTGTAAAATATAACTGTATCAGCTAATCGGATCAATACCTCCCACATACAAGGGTAGGGGAAACCGAGAATCGCTAAAAAACTTAATATAGTAATGGTTCTAGAACACCAATGTGAGAGAAACTATACAAATAAAATAAAATAAGATAAATCAGAAAATGGATAAATGACTCTTATCCCCTCAGGGGGTTAAAAGTCCTTGAAATAGTGTCAAATATATAGTGTAGCAGACAGAGTGCTTATTCCAAATGATTTTATTGGCACATTAATACTGTCAGTACAATACACACATATATAAAAGACTCATAAGTAAAATATCAAAATGTCCCAAGTGAAAAAAGCAAAGAGTACCAGGTATGTAGACTGAGGGTCCAATATTGTTCGTAACTCTCTCTCACTGGCCGGTGAGTGAGTGTGGACCTCCTCGTGCTGAATCAACACTGGCTGTAAGCCGCGTGCGTTCCACTGTGGTTCTGGATGCGTTCCAGTCTGCTATCACTCGGGAATCTGTGTAGGATGCTGCCTTACGCGTTTCGTGATCATAGGATCACTTCATCAGAGGTGAAGCCAGTGTTGATTCAGCACGCAGAGGTCCACACTCACTTTTATCCAGCCGGTGAGAGAGAGTTATGAACAATATTGGACCCTCAGTCTACATACCTGGTACTCTTTCCTTTTTTACTTGGGACAATTTAACATTTTACTTATGAGTTTTAAATATGTGTGTATTGTACTGACAGTATAAATGTGCCAATAAAATCGTTTGGAATAAGCACTCAGTCTGCAACAATATATAATTGACACTATTTCAAGGACTTTTAACCCCCTGAGGGGTTTTATCCATTTTCTGATGTATCTTATTTTATTTGTATAGGTTCTCTCACATTGGTGTTCTAGAACCATTACTATATTAATTTTTCAGCGATTCTCGGTTTCCCCTACCCTTGTATGTGGCAGGTATTGATCCGATTAGCTGATACATTTATATTTTACAATTTATTAAGATATTTTTATCCATAAGTTCCATTTCCACTAAGTCCTGTTAATACTATTGATTTATTCAATAGACACACACCTTGTATCCTCTTTAACCGCAGGTGGCGGCTATTTTTGCAGTGATTAAGTGGTTATGGTAGTTGTATTTGGTCTCATTTCCCAACTTTAAAGGTAATTCATCATTACAACTGGTGTTCACCTATTAAGTTAGAGTTATATTTAAGACTATAAATTAAATTTGTGGATGATATTTAGATCAAAGGGTTGCGCTAAACATTATGTTTAATTATAGTATTTCGATTTTGAAAGATAACGGAAACATTTAGTGTAAAGATAATGGTTTGGGGTACAATTTTAGATTGCGGCATAGTATTTCAAGTCAGGTTTAACAATAGCATTTGGGTTAGAATTGAATATATAACTAGGGGTAGAATGTAGGATTAGAGGTCACATTTAGGGCTACATTTAGAGATGGGTTTTAGGGCTTGGGTTACAGGTGATACGTATGGGTACACTAGGGTTGAGGTAATAGACAGAACTGACATTCAGGGTTTAGTATTTGGTATTTATGGTTTACCTAAATATTTATATTTGGGATTAGCGATAAAAGTTAGAGGGTGTATTTAGGGTATGGGCAGTATTTAAGGTTAAGATTAGCGACATAAGTTAGGGTTAGGAATCATAGATAGGTTTTGTTAAGTTATTCTGCATCTGTAAAGGAAATACAGGGAGAAAATGGAAAAGAAAAGAAACAAAATAGAATGAACAAGAGAACAATATGAAAGGAGAGATAGCTGGGAAAAAAAGATTGTGCCGCAATGTTGAAGAGAGCAAGCGGTAAGGAGAGCCATGGGCAGGAAAAGAGAGCACAGCTAAAATGTGGAGGAATGGAAAAAAATATTGAGTTAAATAAAGAGAGACAGAGAGAGCTGTGGAAAAGTTAAGAGAGCATGTAGAAGAAAGAAAGAGAGGTATGGCGAGCAAGTGAAAAGAAGAGAAGAGCAACGGCACAACTAGAACATGGAAGAAACAGATGGACATTGAAGATAAAAGAGGAGTATTGAGAAGAAGACAAACGAGGAAAGGATGGATACGAGTAAGAGAGCGTTGGTGGGAACAGTGGAACAAAGAGCACAATAGGTTAGGAAATCAACAGATCAACGTAAAAGAAGGAAATAAAGGATGGGTCTGATATAGGAGAGCAAAGAGAAGAAGTTCAGATGGCAAAAGAAAAGAGGGAGAGAACATGGAAGAGAAGAAGTAAGATAATGGAATGAGGAAGCTGTGAATTGAAAGAGGATGTAGATATTGGAGGGCAGCATGGGAAAGCTACAGGGAGTGCAGAATTATTAGGCAAGTTGTATTTTTGAGGATTAATTTTATTATTGAACAACAACCATGTTCTCAATGAACCCAAAAAACTCATTAATATCAAAGCTGAATATTTTTGGAAGTAGTTTTTAGTTTGTTTTTAGTTATAGCTATGTTAGGGGGATATCTGTGTGTGCAGGTGACTATTACTGTGCATAATTATTAGGCAACTTAACAAAAACAAATATATACCCATTTCAATTATTTATTATTACCAGTGAAACCAATATAACATCTCAACATTCACAAATATACATTTCTGACATTCAAAAACAAAACAAAAACAAATCAGTGACCAATATAGCCACCTTTCTTTGCAAGGACATCCATGGATTCTGTCAGTGTTTGATCTGTTCACCATCAACATTGCGTGCAGCAGCAACCACAGCCTCCCAGACACTGTTCAGAGAGGTGTACTGTTTTCCCTCCTTGTAAATCTCACATTTGATGATGGACCACAGGTTCTCAATGGGGTTCAGATCAGGTGAACAAGGAGGCCATGTCATTAGATTTTCTTCTTTTATACCCTTTCTTGCCAGCCACGCTGTGGAGTACTTGGACGCGTGTGATGGAGCATTGTCCTGCATGAAAATCATGTTTTTCTTGAAGGATGCAGACTTCTTCCTGTACCACTGCTTGAAGAAGGTGTCTTCCAGGAACTGGCAGTAGGACTGGGAGTTGAGCTTGACTCCATCCTCAACCCGAAAAGGCCCCACAAGCTCATCTTTGATGATACCAGCCCAAACCAGTACTCCACCTCCACCTTGCTGGCGTCTGAGTCGGACTGGAGCTCTCTGCCCTTTACCAATCCAGCCACGGGCCCATCCATCTGGCCCATCAAGACTCACTCTCATTTCATCAGTCCATAAAACCTTAGAAAAATCAGTCTTGAGATATTTCTTGGCCCAGTCTTGACGTTTCAGCTTGTGTGTCTTGTTCAGTGGTGGTCGTCTTTCAGCCTTTCTTACCTTGGCCATGTCTCTGAGTATTGCACACCTTGTGCTTTTGGGCACTCCAGTGATGTTGCAGCTCTGAAATATGGCCAAACTGGTGGCAAGTGGCATCGTGGCAGCTGCACGCTTGACTTTTCTCAGTTCATGGGCGGTTATTTTGCGCCTTGGTTTTTCCACACGCTTCTTGCGACCCTGTTGACTATTTTGAATGAAACGCTTGATTGTTCGATGATCACGCTTCAGAAGCTTTGCAATTTTAAGAGTGCTGCATCCCTCTGCAAGATATCTCACTATTTTTGACTTTTCTGTGCCTGTCAAGTCATTCTTTTGACCCATTTTGCCAAAGGAAAGGAAGTTGCCTAATAATTATACACACCTGATATAGGGCGTTGATGTCATTAGACCACACCCCTTCTCATTACAGAGATGCACATCACCTAATATGCTTAATTGGTAGTAGGCTTTCGAGCCTATACAGCTTGGAGTAAGACAACATGCATAAAGAGGATGATGTGGTCAAAATACTCATTTGCCTAATAATTCTGCACTCCCTGTATGAGGGAAGCAATCGAGAGCAGAGGAACATCATGAAGTGGTTTTGAAGTAACATGGTACAATGGAGATTTGAAGATCACTCCGAACTATATATTCTCTTGAGAAAATGTTGCCTATTAGGGTATCGTCTTATTTAAAAGGCCAAGAAATAAAATGGACTTCTGGATAACTCCATTTCTGATCCTATCTGCATGGTGACATACTGGCCTGGGTGTTGCCATCTTAAATCACCATAATGATACCACACAGAGACTTTTCTTGCTGCACTACATCTTGGCCACTTCTTAGCTAAGTCCAGTTGTTTGTGTGGAAAGTTTGATGACAATGCTAGAAAGTGGGGCAATCAAATACAGAACGTCTCTTCTGATCCGAACATCTGGGAGAAATTCTACTTCAACGATGTAGGAACAAGCTGGATGAGGAACATCAGAACTTGGTTTTCAAGTCCACAGAGTAAGAAAGGTTTTTACGAAAAGCATTACACGAAAACACACATAAAACATTTCTGTAGATTCATCATATTCTATGATAATTCAAACAGTGATTGAACTAAATAATACACAATTCACTTTTTGTAAATTACTCCACAGTTTTCTTTTTACTATTTAGTAATGCTTCTGTAACGTCAAGACATGCCTACGTTGTTACATCATACAAAGTAACTATGATCGGTATATAAAGTCAGCATATGGATGGAGGCGCATTTGGTGGTTTGTGGCAAGTTGAACAAGTAGCAAGCACAAAAATGATAAAACATGAAAACAAGAAACCATGGGTGCAATATGTTCTTTACTCCCCTTGTGGGCATGTTTGGAACTGAGGGTAAAAATGTACTCTGTGACTGAAATGAATTTGAATGCTTTTTATTTCCGCAATTTGCTTCCAAGGTCTTTTTTCTCCATAACTGCAAATTCCCGTCACTATACTTTACACACACTTATCATTTCACACCACATCTATTATAACTCACATCTAATTGACCTCTCCAAAGCCCACACTCCCAAAACTATAGTCTTTCATGAAAGCTACTGACAGATCTGCGTTCCTCACCCACCACTCCACACACGTCTGCAATTTCTCATCCTTTCCTTATTGTCCCACATCCCTCAGGATCCAATTCAAAATACTAAGCTACAAAGCTATCAACAAGTCTGCTTCTCATTATACATTCATTCACTAAGTCAATCCACTGTACCGCCAACTGTCTTTCGTTTTCAGTTCACACTTACATTGTTAATTCTCACCATCAGGATTTCTCTGTGGAAGCATCATCCCTAAGGAACAACTAACCTCATTTTCTCTGACCTCCTCAAGTTTCTAATCCTTTAAGAAATCTCTCATAACTCATCTCTTCTGGCAAGTTTAAAATCTCATTAGAACATCCCTTTAGGGACACTCCACTGACCAAAAAAAAAAAATGGAATAGTAACCAAAATCACTATTTAGTAGATATGCCCCAATTGAAAAAAGAAACATACCTGTATTTAATTATGCATTTTATCCTTAGGGTATATCTACAACAGCTTGTAAGAGCTGCAGAACTCTTGTCTGCAACATTTGCAAGTCCTCCCCTTCTTCCCCAGCTTAGACTTTCTGTGTCTGTCCAATCACAGACTTCCCAATGCAGCTCAATGATAAGTCTTTGCAACACAACACAGGTGCTCTGGGCAATTGCTGCCTCTTGAGTTAAAATGACAGGAAGTAACAGGGCCTGTTATCTTATTGACAGCCAGGTGCTGTAACTAGGTTCATTTATAAAAATACCAATCTCTCTTAAAATCTGCACTTTTTGTAAAAATTAAAAAAAGAGCACACACTCTTCACATATAAAGCACATCAGCAAGCTAGAGTGCTTAAGGGGTTTGAAGTGTCCCTTTAGAAAGCGTTGCCTTCAATTATTATTGGGCAGTAACTCAATTTTGCACAATGTACTTTATAATAAATTCCACTTCACAAGTTTCCTATGAACATCTTATTCAATGAGATAGAGGCTTTGCACCTAGTGATATTATCCCACTTTTTCAAATGTTCTTCCCTCGTAGTGAGAGTTAGAGTAACCACAAAATAGACCAGGCTAGTGCCTAGAGACTGTAGAAGTATTTGTCATCATCTCCTTGGACCTCCTGGACTACAGCTCTCCATATAGGGTTTACCCAATCCAAGGACATCATGATGTATTTTTTTGGCGTGGGTTGGTAATTATGGAAAAAGGAGACTCATCATCACATCATCATCATTCATCATCACATTTCTGATAAAGAGGCACCACGTAAGCCCGCTCGATCCTGTCCCATCTCACCTCATCAGATCTCTCTCTCCTTGTCTTGTGCCTACCCTAACACACATCTTTAACTGCTCTCTCTCTTCTGGCACTGTTCCTGCTGACCTTAAACATGCCACTGTAATACCTATCCTGAAAAAAACATCTCTTGACCCATCCTCCCCTTCTAACTATCGTCCCATATCCCTGCTCCCTTTCTCATCAAAGCTTTTGGAAAGGCTTGTCTTTACCCGTGTGTCCCGCTTCCTTAATTCCAACTCTCTCCTTGACCCTCTTCAGTCTGGCTTCCGCCCTCTCCACTCTACTGAGACTGCTCTTATCAAAGTCACTAATGACCTAATCTCCGCTAAATCCAAAGGTCATTACTCCATATTAATTCTCCTTGACCTCTCTGCTGCCTTTGACACCGTTGATCATGCTCTCCTCCTTCAAACTCTTCAATCGCTCGGTCTCTGTGACTCGGTCCTCTCTTGGTTTTCCTCCTATCTCTCCCAACGCTCATTCAGTGTCTCCTTTTCCAAGGATACCTCCTCCACTCGTCCTGTCTCGGTTGGGAACTCCAACCAAGGGTCTGTCCTTGGTCCCCTTCTATTTTCTCTTTATACCGCCTCTCTTGGTAAACTGATTGCCTCTTTTGGATTCCACTACCACCTGTACGCTGATGACACTCAGATATACCTCTCCTCCCCGGACCTCTCCCCTGCTGTCCTGCAGCGTGTCACTGCTTGCCTTTCTTCCATCTCTGACTGGATGTCTTCACGCTTTCTGAAACTTAACCTCTCTAAAACTGAACTCCTTGTCTTTCCTCCCCCTAATACTGATCCTCCTCTCTCGCTCTCCCTTCAAGTCAGTGATATCCACATAAGTCCATCCCTGCAAGCGCGCTGTCTTGGCGTCATACTTGACTCTGGTCTCACCTTCGAGTCTCACATCCAGTTTGTTGCCAAGTCCTGTAGGTTCCAACTCAAAAACATAGCCCGCATTCGCCCCTTTCTTACGCAAGATGCTACCAAGGAGCTTGTCCACGCTCTAGTAATTTCCCGCATGGATTACTGTAACCCTCTCCTGATTGGTCTCCCCAAAAGTCGTATTGCCCCGCTACAGTCTGTAATGAATGCTGCAGCTAGACTGATTTTCCTCTCTAGTCGGTCCTCTCACACCTCACCCCTCTGCCGGTCCTTACATTGGCTCCCTGTATGCTATAGGAGTCAATTCAAAGTGCTAACCCATACATTTAAAGCACTGAACAGTTCTAGCCCCGCTTATATCTCTTCACTGATCCATAAATATGCCCCTCCACGTACCCTCCGCTCTGCCCGTGACCACCTCCTGACCGCTGCTCGCACCCGTACGGCCAACTCGCGCTTGCAGGACCTCTCGCGGGCGGCTCCTCTCCTATGGAATAGCTTGCCTACTGCCATCAGACTCTCCCCTAGTCTTCAATCATTTAAGAAGGGCCTTAAAACCCATCTCTTCAGGAAAGCTTATGGCCTCCCAGAGTAATCTCTACCTTACATACCTGCCTCCTGCTCTCTCCTATGGGACAGTGCTTTGCTCTCTCCTCCAGCTCTGCTTCACTCCTACTTGATATTTATTGTCCTAATGTTTCAAACACCCCACCTCCAATAGTCTGTAAGCTTGTTTGAGCAGGGTCCTCTTCAACCTATTGTTCCTGTAAGTTTTCTTGTAATTGTCCTATTTATTGTTACACCCCCCCTCTCAAAATATTGTAAAGCGCTACGGAATCCGTTGGCGCTATATAAATGGCAATAATAATAATAATAATAACTAATGAATTATATTTGGGACGCTATATAAGTAACCACTATCCACAACAGCATTACAATACAAGGAATAAATTGACTTTAAATACTGAGGCTTGATTTAAAATAATAAAAAAATAAGAATTTGTATTAATTACTTATCATTAATATTTATTTATTCTACCATTGCACCCAAAAATTTCTGAATCCACTGTGGTTTGCAACTTTGCTACGTCTGTAGATTTAATTCTGTACACCACATGGCCTGTGTGGAACACACTGTATACATCTTAGTATGTATAAACTTATTTTAAAAACTTAATTTTCCACTGAGCTGCAGAAGGTATCACAAGAGTACCTAAAGGCAGCTCTTAGGATAAAATAAGAATATAGGGAACTGAAGAGTCTATAGGGAATCTAATAGGGTAGGGAACTGGAACTTTCCAGGGTTTCTAATATTATCTTTAACTAATGTTTGTTTATATTTGTGAGGTTTCAAAAATAGTTTTCAGTGTTTTATTCCACAGTTCAACTGTTTAATATCAAGAAAAGTGTCAGCTCACCTTCAAAGTGACATAAATAATGGGTACGTTAAGGGAACTGCTGCTAAGTAAAGTTCATGGGTCTCTCTGCTATCAAAACAATTTAATTTAAATGAGGTTGCTTTAAGCAGTAGAATTATTGGGAGCTGTATTACTTTAATGTGTTAAACTGTTATTGATTGGTTAACACCTAGGTCTTCTCAGCCAGGCCACCGTAATAAGCAAAGACGGGATTCATTCATTGCTGGTGATTGGTTGAGAGTATCAGCTGATGGCCTATAACTGGCCACTCACCGCAAACAGCAGTTAATCTATTATTAAAATAAAATAATTCTTTAATGACTATTATTTTTATTTATAAAGCACAAACATTTTCTGTAATGCTGTACTAAGGCAAAATAATTATACATGCAATTGCAACGGGACAATCCGATAAACAATAAAAATACACAGTGAGGGTAAACTGTGTATGGATTCATCTGGAGTAATATTTATCTATACTGTATACACCTTGGATCCTTTTTGGTGTCCCCCATTCTCATAGTTGCCAACTGTCCCGAGTTTGCCAGGACTGTCACATGTTCTGGGCTCCTATCCCAGCAATAAAGAGTCCCGGGATCTGTCCAACATACCAATGGTGTAACTACCACTGATTCAGCCATTGTAGCCTTCCCAGGGTCCCCAAAAACATCTAGAAATATGTGTGTATAATTGGGTGTTATAATGTTGCTGTATGTACGTTAATTGGCCCCTCAGTGGTATATTTGTTTTGTGACATCCAGATTTGAATGATATCCAGCACAACTCAGTTTGAATAGTTATGATTAGTCGCACGCAAGAACCTATTCTGCAATGCAAATTGCATTGATTTTTTTTTCTCTCACTGCATACATAGACAAATAGAGGTTTTCAGTAGCTAAGTCAAATTCTATTCTCATATGGGAAAGAAAGCACTATAGGTTTTTTAGCCAACGAGAACATTGACACATCTACAAATCGGTGGTTTTATCTTGCAGGGTTAAAATGATAGATTCACTGTACTCAGGAGATGATCTTTGTGTCTATGTACAGAAAGAAAACAAAAAAAGGGATTAAAGTTATGAAATAACAAGGCAGAAAGATCATCAGCCATTTTAGAGAGCATATTGTAAAGGATAATCCAATCATCTAGTATGGTGTAAAAGAGTTCAAGGGGTTACAGTCCCAAAACATATAGAGGGGTTAGTAGTTCATCACCCCTAGTCAGAACTCTGTGCCTCTGCTGCTCAATGATAAGTAACGTGATGGTTCTAAAAAGAGAATAGGAATAGAATTTCAGTTTAATTTGCAACATTGCATTATTAATACAGAATCTTAACGTAAGTAGGTTCATGTAAGATTATGCAATCCCAAATAATGTTTCAATAATTAAAAGTCTTAATTGGTTGAGATGTATTTAGTGCAGTCAGTTTCAGAGAATCTACATAAATTATATTGTAACCGAGAAAACTTGCAGAAGCCAGACACAGAGAGATGGATGCAGGTTTTCAGGAAGTAAGAGGTCTTTATTAACATACCGATCGGGCCTCAGATGAACTTACGTTCCAAAACAGGTCTGAGGGCCAAACACATGGAGTACATGCTTTTTATAGAACTATAACTCCTCCCATTAATAGCTCCACCCGCACATACCCTTAACCAATCAGTGGACAGGATTTGGATTTCCTCATATGGGCAGACCACATGGCTCATCCGAAACAAAGGAGAAAGGAGTGTAATTTAAGTTCCTGCATTCCTGCACATGCTCAGTACATTGATGACAGTATCTTAGCTACTTGTAACTAACTAACTGATACAACATACACATATGCCACATGGAAATCTCGGCCTACTAAATTTAAATTTCACCGAAATTCCATCACATTCCCCCCTTTGATGCCTCTGATACAAAATTATTCCAGATGCATCACCAATCATAGTTTACCAACACCTCTCAAGTAGCCATGGGACCAGAGCAGACCTTGTAAGCATCTTAGCATCATCACAAACTCCTTCAGCATTCCTCATCCTGAATATGTTCTCTTTGGGCTAGGGATTCATATCTATAGAGAGCCATTACATGAGCAGCTGTCTTTCTTTCTATAGTACTCTCTATGATACTACGTATAGATCTAACCACTAATGGAATTAGGCAGGACAGAAAGAGACATAAGAATATAATAAATACTACTCTTCATACTAACGCCTTAATCCCTCCAAGCTGCTCATACCAACTTCCAAACCAACTACTAGGATTATACCCATTCCAGACCTGAGCAGGTACATGTGGCTTGTAAGTTCAGCCACTGCCTGCCTTTCATCATCTATGTGCAAACAACAGTTGCTGAGATTAAACGTTCCGCATACACCTCCCTCTACTGCTAATAGGTAGTCCAGAGCTAATCTATTTTAATAGATGGCTGATCTCATCCGAGTATTTTGCTTAGCTAGAAGATTAAGTACTTGAGCTGTCTCATTAGTGATAATCTTAACCACCACCTGTAGACTTATAATACGGTTGAGCATATATATCGGGGTTCTATATCCATAGGTACCATCTTCTGCCCAAGTAGCAGGTCCATAATAATTAATAATGCGTTGGGGAGGCCACTCATCATCTTCCCAGCTACCTATATTCAAGGATGCTCGCTTCTTTTTATGATTTACATCATAAACCTTAACTCCCAAGGTCTCTCTTGTCTCAAATAGCAACAGGAAGAAGGATGGTTTGAGCGTACCTAATACACATGCCACTTCCCATACTTGTGGTAACTATGAATATGCTTTCTTACCACAGATCCAATATAAATTCGATGGGGCTTTCCAATTGGATGTAGCAGATAAGTCAAACCATACCTCTTTTTAATGGGTGTAATTGGCAAACGGATTAGTAGGCTCTGAGACATTTGAAGCTGACCACTAAGCATCATCCCTAGGGAACAACTAACCTAATTTTCTCTGACCTCCTCTAGTTTCTAATCCTTTAACAAATCTCTCATAACTCATCTCTTCTGGCAAGTTTATAATCTCATTAGAACATCCCTTTAGGGACACTCCAATGACCAAATTAAGTGGTCAGCTTCAAGTATGTTTAGTATCGGCATTATAGGCTTTCTGTCCTAGACATATTAACTCGCCAACAGGTGTGGTATACAATGGCCCTTTCCTGGCTAAACATACATGACCTATAATGGAGGTTTTTAACCGCCAGTCTGATTTACCTCTAGTACTTACTTGATGATCAGACTGAGAAAGTATTTGTTGTTCATCTGCCTCAGAACCAGGGTACCATACTTCCTTTGCCTCCCATGGCCACTGGTCTCCCATATTAGTACCTCCACATACAAAGCAATTAGTTACATTAAGACTACCCGCAATACTCTCAGCCAAATCAATAAAAAGGTTCTTAACATTATGGGGAATTTTATCCTCAACACTCATCTCCTCATAAAAGGAATGAAAAACCTGATGAGTTTGAGTTGCTATCGTCTCAGTTTCAAGTCCTACATACAGGGAGTGCAGAATTATTAGGCAAATGAGTATTTTGACCACATCATCCTCTTTATGCATGTTGTCTTACTCCAAGCTGTATAGGCTCGAAAGCCTACTACCAATTAAGCATATTAGGTGATGTGCATCTCTGTAATGAGAAGGGGTGTGGTCTAATGACATCAACAAACTATATCAGGTGTGCATAATTATTAGGCAACTTCCTTTCCTTTGGCAAAATGGGTCAAAAGAAGGACTTGACAGGCTCAGAAAAGTCAAAAATAGTGAGATATATTGCAGAGGGATGCAGCACTCTTAAAATTGCAAAGCTTCTGAAGCGTGATCATCGAACAATCAAGCGTTTCATTCAAAATAGTCAACAGAGTCGCAAGAAGCGTGTGGAAAAACCAAGGCGCAAAATAACTGCCCATGAACTGAGAAAAGTCAAGCGTGCAGCTGCCACGATACCACTTGCCACCAGTTTGGCCATATTTCAGAGCTGCAACATCACTGGAGTGCCCAAAAGCACAAGGTGTGCAATACTCAGAGACATGGCCAAGGTAAAAAAAGGCTGAAAGACGACCACCACTGAACAAGACACACAAGCTGAAACGTCAAGACTGGGCCAAGAAATATCACAAGACTGATTTTTCTAAGGTTTTATGGACTGATGAAATGAGAGTGAGTCTTGATGGGCCAGATGGATGGGCCCGTGGCTGGATTGGTAAAGGGCAGAGAGCTCCAGTCCGACTCAGGCGCCAGCAAGGTGGAGGTGGAGTACTGGTTTGGGCTGGTATCATCAAAGATGAGCTTGTGGGGCCTTTTCGGGTTGAGGATGGAGTCAAGCTCAACTCACAGTCCTACTGCCAGTTCCTGGAAGACACCTTCTTCAAGCAGTGGTACAGGAAGAAGTCTGCATCCTTCAAGAAAAACATGATTTTCATGCAGGACAATGCTCCATCACACGCGTCCAAGTACTCCACAGCGTAGCTGGCAAGAAAGGGTATAAAAGAAGAAAATCTAATGACATGGCCTCCTTGTTCACCTGATCTGAACCCCATTGAGAACCTGTGGTCCATCATCAAATGTGAGATTTACAAGGAGGAAAACAGTACACCTCTCTGAACAGTGTCTGGGAGGCTGTGGTTGCTGCTGCACGCAATGTTGATGGTGAACAGATCAAAACACTGACGGAATCCATGGATGGCAGGCTTTTGAGTGTCCTTGCAAAGAAAGGTGGCTATATTGGTCACTGATTTGTTTTTGTTTTGTTTTTGAATGTCAGAAATGTATATTTGTGAATGTTGAGATGTTATATTGGTTTCACTGGTAATAATAAATAATTTAAATGGGTATATATTTGTTTTTTGTTAAGTTGCCTAATAATTATGCACAGTAATAGTCACCTGCACACAGATATCCCCCTAACATAGCTAAAACTAAAAACAAACTAAAAACTACTTCCAAAATATTCAGCTTTGATATTAATGAGTTTTTTGGGTTCATTGAGAACATGGTTGTTGTTCAATAATAAAATTAATCCTCAAAAATACAACTTGCCTAATAATTCTGCACTCCCTGTATATTATAGTCCCTAGGTCTACTCCTGTGCCATATATTTGGAACCCAAATTGATTTCCAAACTTATCAATAAAATATTGTGGATTATAGTTGGTCATGAACAGGATTACATTCCATAGAATTATAGTGTGGTGTAGTGGGCAACCTTTGGATAATCATATCTTGATCCACTGTTATTCCCCAGGTCGCCCACCCTACACAAGACCAATATGAACATAAATTTAAATCCCTATTTGGGCAATCAGGATCAGTAGATCTCTTACTGGGACATAAATATTTATCATTAAACCCATAAGTTCGTTCCCATTTAAGATTACCACATACATTCCAAGGTTTTCCACTACCAGAGATCGCCTTACATGCATCAAATAGTAGAATGCCCGTAGAATGTATGGTATTTATCACAGTCCTATTTATCAAGGTCCCCTGGGAGTTACTGTTCCGAATTACCAATCAAATTGTACGGGGTTGGAATTGGGGATCAAAACATTTAGGCTCTCCTGATATTGGTTTGCACACACTGTAATCTATATCTAAATATCTACACTTAGATACAGATCCCCTACACTCATACTGTGAGTGCCAAATGAGAGTTTTGGATATTTGGTTACCTGTTTTTGTAGTCTTAATGCAGCTAACACAACTCTGTATGTCCTCACCTTCCTGAAAAATCACAAAAATGCCTAAACACATAATATAACATATTATTTCAGAAGTCCTCATTTCTACTCTTCGACCGTGCGACTGCACTTCTGTTTCCCAATTGTAAGGGCTGCAAGGATTGTCGTTCTTCTGATCCTCACTTTTCTTCACAGAGGTCCCTTCGAGACACTCTGGCTATGACACGTAGGTAGGTGGTCAGGCTTTATTATGGCGGTCAAAACACCTACTTGCTGATATCTGTTGTTACTTTCAACTAAGATGTCCCAATATTTCCTCGTATTATTTCTCACTCCGACTGAGCTACCCACTTTAACCGGATCTTGCAAGGATTTTCAGAATCTGGAATAGCTTGCCAAGAATCTGCCGCTGGTTTAACCCTAGAATGATGAATCCACAGAGTCACTTCTGCCACCTTTACAGCTGTTGGAGTAGAAAAAAGAACAACATAAGGACCCCTCCACTTTGGACCTAATGGAACAAAATTCCATTATTTTATCCACACTTGATCTCCCGGTTGATAGGAAACCTATCTTGCACCCATTTCTGTACTTCCTCCATAGTTTTACCCAACTCTACAACCTGCTGCCGAGTAATTCCTTCACCCAACTGATTCAAGTCCCCCCTTAGATTACTGAGAATGGGAGGTGGAAGCCCATAAAGGATTTCAAAGGGAGACAGACCCATTCTTCTGGTAGGAGTACTATCCGCAACAGAGCTATTGGTAAAAGGACATTCCACTTGAGCTGAGTTTCCTGACACATTTTAGCCAATTGGGTTTTTATTGTTCTGTTCATCCTTTCCACCTTCCCAGAACTCTAGAAGGTCTAAATGCTGTATGAAGTTTCCACTTAATACCAAGCACATGAGTCAATTGTTGTAAACACTGATGGGTAAAAGCTGGACCATTGTCTGATCCGTTAGAACACGGAAGTCCATATCTGGGTATAACTTCTCGCAACAGAAATTGTACAACTTCTCCTGACTTTTCTGTACGAGTTGGACAAGCTTCTACCCAACCTGAGTAGGTACACACAGCTACCAACAAGTAATGATATCCCCAAGATTTAGGCATTACAGTGTAGTCTATTTGCAAATCTGTTATTGGGAGTCCTCCCATATATTGAACTCCAGGGGGTTTGACAGGGCCTTGTCTTGCATTGTTTCGAGCACACAAAACACATCTTCGAACAATAGCTCGAGTAAGATTGGATAATCTTGGTATGTAGAAATGTTTCCTGAGAGATTCTTCCATACTATCTCTTCCTGAATGTGTACCATTATGGAAGCTCTGAACACTCTCCATAGCAGGAGATGTCGGAATAACTATTCTTCCATCTTCTAACTGATACCAATTATTCTCCAAGTATTTCCCAGCTTCAGTCTTCAACCACTCCATCTCTTGGGTTGTATTTATCGGAGTCCATTGAGACAGAGGTGCCGGCACAAGGGAAGCAACATACCCCACATATTCCTCTTGCCCGGATTCAGCAGCATGTTTTGCTGCACTATCAGCCATGCAATTTCCTTTTACTACATCACTGTCACCTTTCAGGTGTGCCCTGCAATGTATAATACCGACTTCCTTCGGTTCCCATACCGCCTCTAACAGTTGAGAGTATTTCTGCTGCATACTTGATTTCTTTCCCTTCTGAATTCAACAATCCCCTTTCTTTATACAATGCTCCATGGGAATGGGTGGTTAGAAAAGCGTATTTCGGATCTGTGTAAACATTCACTCTCAACCCTTCAGCTAATTGCAAGGCCCTTGTTAATACAATCTTTTCCGCCTTCTGTGCTGATGTCCCTTTCGACAGTGGCCATGCTTCTATCACCTTGTCTATAGTTGTTACCGCATACCCTGCATAACGTATACCTTCTTTCACATAACTACTACCATCTGTATAATACTGTATGTCCGGATTCTGGATGGGGAAATCATGAAGATCAGGCCTGCTTGAAAACACTTCATCCATTATCTCCAAACAATCATGTTGACTTTCAGTATTCTGGGGCAGAAGGGTAGCTGGATTCACATTATTGACAGTTTCGAGGTGTACTCTTGGATTTTCACATAACATAGCTTGATATTTGGTCATTCGACTGTTACTAAACCAATGATTTCCTTTGTAATCCAACACGGTCTGTACTGCATGAGGTACTTGCACATAGAGTTTCTGACCCAATGTGAGCTTGTCAGCTTCTGCTACCAACAGGGCAGCGGCGGTCACTGTTCGCAGACAAGGTGGAAGACCACTGGCCACTGCATCCAACTGTTTGGATATATAAGCTACAGGTCTTTGCCATGATCCCAAATACTGAGTTAATACTCCCACAGCCATTCTTCTTTGCTCATGTACGTACAGATAGAAAGGACGCGTGTGATCTGGTAGACCTGGAGCTGGGGCACTCATACGTGCTTTCTTAACATCATCAAATGCCTTCTGTTGTTCAGAGGTCCACAAAAAGGGGTCATATTCTGTGCCTTTCACAGCTTCATATAAAGGTTTCGCCAGTATCGCATAATTTGAATCCATATCCTACAGAATCCTGCTGCTCCTAAGAATTCTCACACTTGTCTTCTATTCTTAGGTATAGATATCCGACACACTGCTTCTTTTCTTTCAGGTCCCATTATTCTTTGACCTTCGGAAAAAATATGGAATCCTAAATATTTCACAGTTGACTGGCACAATTGCGCTTTCTTCCTTGATACCTTGTATCCTGCTCTCCATAGAATGTGAAGCAAATCATAAGTTGCTTGTTGGCATATCTCTTTAGTAACAGCTGCTATCAAAAGATCATCCACGTATTGAAGCAATACACATTGTCCTGGGATGGACTTGAAATCTTGCAAATCCTGACTTAATGCAGATCCAAATAGGATAGGTGAATTCTAGAACCCTTGAGTAGTCTGGTCCAGTTCATCTGACACTTTGAACCTGTAACAGCATCTTCCCATTGGAAAGCAAATATACACTGACTCTCAGCAGCAATCCGAAGGCAAAAGAAAGCATCCTTAATGTCTAGAACTGTGAAGTAGGTTGCGCCACCTGGTATCAAAGCAAGCAGATTATATGGGTGTATATTGATCTGATCATGGTTTCTGAACAGGTAATTATGGAGTATTCCAGGGGGAAGTACAGAATTTTAGGATGCCATACCTTACGAACTTATCCAAGTAGATCTGTATGTTTTTCTTAGCCTTTTGAGGTATATGATACTGACGTAGGCTAACAGGATAGGCCCCAAGCTTTAGTTCAATATGTATAGGTGGAATATTACGAGCACGCCCAGGTGGGTTATTCTCTGCCCATACTCCTGGAATGTCAAATAAAGTTTCATCACTCTTAGGGTTTACACTTGTCATTATGGAGTAGAAGCGCCATTCTTCTTCCCTTGGCACCGATACCGCCATTATGCCTGGTAATCCATTTAACCTCAGAGACGTTTATCCATTAGGTAGAAAAGTTATCTGGGCTTGAAGCTTCGATAATAGATCTCGTTCTAGAAGTTGAATCGGATACTCTGGCATATATAGGAACTGGTGCTTCACCAAATGGCCTCCCAGAATGCAAGTGCGACTTTTAAGAAGCGGTCTAGCTCCCAGTAGCTCCTATCACAGTTATAGTTTTTCCTGAAGGTCTTTCACCACGGAATGTTCAGCACCAGTGTCAATCATGAAAGAACTTCTCTTTCCCCCTATTGCTACATCGACCATAGGTTCCGCTCGGCCAAGGGGGATGGAGCCCGGTCGGTATCAATAGTCTTCCATGATAGTGTCAGCCAGACCCACAAAATCTCTATCCTCTCTATCTCTTGGTCTCTGAGTAGGTGGATAATATCTATCTCCTTGAACACTCCCTCTACTATTCCTACCGTTCCCTCCAAAACTTCCTCTTTCTCTATAACTACCACTATAACCTTCCCTGTACTCTTCTATCTCCTTGTCTATTATTTTCATAATGCTCTCTCTGTGGACACTCATTCTTTCAATGTCCTTCCTCTCTACAAAACACACATTGATTCCTACTTAAAGGTCCCTTACTCAGCCTATTCTCGACTCCTTTATTCATTTCCCTTCCCTGTCTTTCTACACTTGTGATAGCTACCGCTAGCATATCTGCCTTCTTCCTCATTTTACGTTCTTCATCCCGCTTTATCTCAGTTTCCCGATTTATATATACTTTATTTGCGATCTCCATTAACTGTGATATGGACAAATGCTGAGTTAATCATTCGAGAATTCTCAGGGGCCTCTGGATTAAGAGGAGTATACAATCTATATGACTCCAATAATCTTTCATAAAAGGCACTAGGTGACTCATCAACCTTTTCACCTCAGCCGTCTTTGACATATTGATTGCCTTCTTCCCTCCTGCCTTCATGCCAGCAATAATGGCTTCCCGATAAGCCCTTAATTGGGGCATGTCAGCACCATTCACATTCCAATTTAGGTCAACATTTGGATAAGGGGCTGCAGCCCATGCAGCTGGATTGGTCTGATTTTGAGTACGGGCCGTTTCCTCAAGCGCTTTAATAGCCGCTTGATTAATCCGGATCCTTTCCTCACAATTAAATAAAGTTAATAATAATTGCTGGCAATCGGCCCAAGTGGGATTGTGAGTTTGTATAATAGAGGTAACCAAATCTGTCATGACTTGAGGTTTATCGGTATACGAAGAGTTATGAGTCTTCCAATTGAATAGATCAGTTGTGGTGAAGGGCACATAGACAAACACTGGATCTGCCCATTGTATTTGGCCATTTTCATCAACGTGTGTTGGGCCCGGTGTAAGTCGGAGGGGCATTTGGTAATGTCGGGGTTGAAGGATACCAGTCATCTGTCGGGTTAATATAGGACTTTGACGAGGCTGTTTTATAGTAAGTTCTGGTCTAGGGGTAGTAAGGTAAGGAGAATGAGGCAGGTTAATTTTACCGTGCGGAAGTTCAGTCAACAGGATGTTGCGGACCGGGCTGGGAGGAGCCTGACCAGGAACCAGAAGTGACGTTAATTCCGGATATATAGAACTAGTGGAGGTAGGGGAGGACTCAGGGCAAGTGGGCTGGGCTCTAAACTAGATGAATGAGTGGGCAGGGACAATGGGAAAGGGGGAGTGGCAACACCAGCAGCACCTCCTCTAACCTTAGAGGAGGAGTAAGGGGGTGGGGAGGGAAGTTCAGACTCAGAGGGAGAGTCTAAAATGGGCAGGGGTTGCGGCCCTGATGGACAGGCGAGTCCTGGCCACCATGAGGCGACATTGCTCCTCGTGGCATACCTTAATCCATTTAGGCAATTCTTCCACAATCTGTTTCCAACAATCAATATACGGAAACTGATCATAGAATTCAGGCCTACTAGATACAACCGCGTGCAAACGTTGCACTATGGTTAGATCAAGACTACCACGTGGAGGCCATGCGGTCATCAAGATAGGCCACTCTCTACTACATAATGTAGTCAAACGCTTTGGGGATAATTTCACCCCAAAATCACAAACTTTATATCCCTCTGCAAAGTTTTTTAACATACACGACAAGGGATCAACAATCTTTGAGTCAGACGCACCCATACTGGCAAGGGAGGGTCTAATACAAAGAAACACAATACCACAAACACACTTCCAATGATCATACTTGTTTCACTGGCAACAGCACCACGTGGCACAGTTGCCAGGCCAAACACACACACGAAAACACGGAGAGAATTCTCGTACATACAGTGATATCACGACGTCTCACTCACAAAGATTTACCAAACACTAGATACTTATCTCTGTAACTATAAATCAAACCCTACAATTATCCACATTATAAATCAACTTTTAACTAACCGACTATATCACATTCTAGTAACCTCATCTTTACAATCAGTGGTTATGGTATGGTTAGCAAGTGGTTATAATACAGTTTTAAAGTCACAGATCAGTTAGTAACAGTTATGGTGTTACACATATAACATAAGACAACAGTTTTTAGTAATTTTTACACAACTTCAGTAGTTATAGTACATGTTAATGGTTATAATACTGTGCGCTATTCTACAGTATACACACAATTTACACTCCCACTAGACGGCAGAGCTCAAGCTTTCTAGCAGGACATACAATTCACCAACTACAGTATATTTAACAACATTTACAATAATCCCAACTATTCTAATTGGCCAGCACCTCGAGAACTATCGAACTATTTACACCAGGATTCGGTTAGTCTACGCTGCCCAAGCACCACATATATCGAACTAGTGGGTGGAATTTACAACAGTACCCATTTAGTCTATCTACTCTATCAATAGTCTAGTGGCTGAATTTACAACCGCGCACACTTAGCCAAGATAGGTTGAGAACTAGCAGACGGAATGTACACCAAAATCTGCTTAGTCTCGCTGGCCTTCCCGACCTAGCGACCGAAATTTACACCTAGACACGCTAGTCAAGACAGGACACCGGTGTCCGGCATAAACTATGTACACCAAGATTTAGCCTGACTCAAACCACCTATATTAGACGGGCTGACTACAGAGCATCTAATTGCCAGATAAGCGTTGCGCCTTCGCTTCTTCCCTCCAGAGGGAGGGGGCAATCCAATAACATGTTCCAAATATAAAACCCCTTGTGGGCCTACCGCTCTAACGGTATCAGTCTTACCTCTTCGTTCCTGAACCTGGGCTCACACTCATCGACGGGGCACCCCGGTACTTACTACGTAAAGGCAGATGATCTCCTGGGCGAAGCAGGCCAGTGGCGCCGAGATGAAGGGATGTCCACGCAGAAGTTCAGGGGTGCTGCCGTAGAGAACTTTGGTAAAAGATTTACCATCTCAAATCTCTGTGCCAGCTTCCGTGCGATGAGGTTCCCGGACCCAATGCACCAAAGATGTAACCGAGTAAACTTGCAGAAGCCAGACACAGAGAGATGGATGCAGGTTTTCAGGAAGTAAGAAGTCTTTATTAACATACCGATCGGGCCTCAGATGAACTAACGTTCCAAAACAGGTCTGAGGGCCGAACACATGGAGTACATGCTTTTTATAGAACTATAACTCCTCCCATTAATAGCTCCACCCGGACATACCCTTAACCAATCAGTGGACAGGATTTGGATTTCCTCATATGGGCAGACCACTTGGCTCATCCGAAACCAATGAGAAAGGAGTGTAATTTCAGTTCCTGCATTCCTGCACATGCTCAGTACATTGATGACAGTATCTTAGCTACATGTAACTAACTAACTGATACAACATACACATATGCCACGTGGAAATCTCGGCCTACTAAATTTACATTTCACCGAAATTCCATCACAATATAATCGCGGAAGTAGCAAAACCAAGTCACTTAATTAGAATGTGTGCATAAATGCATGTTCTAAAATTCCTGGCACATAAACAGATCATTGATAATGAGAAATCACCCACTCATTGAATCCCTGAGAATATACAAAATGTGTGCCTCCACAGAGCCTAGGCCTTGTGAACCCTCAAAAAATAAAACACACAACTGTGAGGGGCCACTCGGGCTGTGAGAACCTTTGTCTCTGCATTTGTACAGACTCATAATGATCTCAGTTTTACTTCTGAAACACATAGTTCATCAAGTAGAATGAACATAGTGACTCATCAACAACAATCTTAAAGCACGGTTATGCCAAGCCCCTGAGTCCAATGCATATTGATTGTCACTAGCTCAATCTGCCATGATCAGCAGGTCAATATACACATTACACATATATCTATTTTTAAAATCACTTAAAGGTTAAAAAAAAAAAAAAAAATGTTTAGTAAATATATCCTCAGTGGAAACATGCATGTTTCTAATTATGCATTTTTTTTTCATTGGGTGCATATATATAAAAAAAACAGCTTGCAAGAGCAGCCCTTGCAAACCCTCCCATTCTGACTCCGCCCAGACTTTCTGTGGCTGCCCAATCACTGACTTCCCAATGCAACTCAATGAGAAGTATTTGTAAGGCAGGTGCTCTGGCAATCGCTTTAACCCCTTAAGGACACATGACATGTGTGACATGTCATGATTCCCTTTTATTCCAGAACTTTGGTCCTTAAGGGGTTAAGCATCTGGAGTGTCCCTTTAAAAAGCTTTGCATTTGATTATTACTGAAAGGTCGTTCGGTCTTGGCGAATTTTTAGACTTTATAGAAATATTACTTTATAATAATTTCCAGCATAATTCTAACAATATGAGCCACCCCTGTTTAGTTTCATCTAACATTTTAGAGTGAACCGGCTGATCATGCCTGTAATCTGATTTTTAAAAAATGTTTATCGTGCAGAATAAAATAGAGACAATAGAAAGCAACCATTCAAGATTATATTGTTTTTATTTAAATTTGTATCTTTCTGAAAGTTTTTCATTGATCAGAACCGCAAACTTGCGGTGAGATCCTAGCGATATTACTAGAGCGCAGTCAAGTTATAAATATATTTTTAGGATTCCACAGAGATTGTGTTCTAAGGACGATGGTATATTTCAGTAATTAAAAATCATCATTTACACAGATGGCTAAAGTCCAGAGATGTATAGAAATCCCATTCAAATGATGTATTGTTATAATTTGTAAAATGAAAATCAGGTAATGAAAACATACTTTGAAATCAGTATTAAAATGCAGCAATAAAGACATGAAAATTTAATTCAAATACAGGGGTGAAAACGCACAGAGTTTTAGCAGTACAAATCTAACACTCAATGTATTAAGTTCGTTTTCAATTTAATCCCTTTACAATATTTAACAAATATGTATATAATTATTAAATATATATTTATTGTATATTTTATAAAATATTTAATTCATTGAAAGCTTGCTGAAGTACTTTAAGCGTCAACAGAGTGTCCATGATTTTCGAAGTGCCTATTTCAAGAGAAATTGCCATTTTATGACGCTCCCATCTCCCAGTTCTCAATTAGGCAACCAATAGGGTGCTCATCTTAATTGCATTGCGCTCAATGAGAAACAGTGCATGTGCAATGATCTCCTGGAGGCGTGGCTAAACTACAATGTGGGGCCCTCTTACTGCTGCATCAAAAGTATGTTAAATGCTCACTTTAGACCAGGGGTTCTCAACGTTAGTCCTCAGGACCCCCTACCAGTCCAGGGTTTAGGGATTACCTGGGTGTGTCTAAGGTGTTTAGAAAAAGAAAAAAAAAACACCTTAGAGTCTAAGGTGTTTTTTTCCCTTTTTCTAAACACCTGAGACACACCCAGGTAATCCCCAAATCCTGGACTGGTAGGGGGTCCTGAGGACTGGGTTGAGAACCCTTGCTTTAGACCCTCAGACCACTTTCGCTCACTGGAATTCTATCTGTGTGAAGAGTGTGTCCTCTTTTTTTTATTTTCCAAAAAGTGGCGATTTATAGAAATGATAAATTAACCTTGTTGCACCCCCAATCAGACAACTGGTCCTGTTACTTCCTGGTTTGGTTAGATCAGTGGAGCTAAACACAGGAGGCAGCAATTGCCCTGAGCACCTGCCTTGCAAAGACTTCTAATTGAGCTGCATTGGGAAGTCTGTGATTGGACAGCCACAGAAAGTCTGGGCGAAGTTGTAAGGGGAGGGTTTGCGAAGACTGCAGATAAGAGAACTGCAACTTTTACAAGCTGCTTTTAGATATACCCCTAATGAAAACTTAAAACTAGGGGGACCAGTAAGTATCTCTAAGCAATACACCTAAAATGTACATGTCTTCATCAAATCCTTATAGATTGTAAGTTTGTTTGAGCAGGGCCTTCTTCAAGCTCTCTCTGTTCTATAAATATAAAGCACTGTGGAATATGTTGGCCCTCTATAAATGCTAATAATAATAATAATACTTCTTTGGCCCCTGGTGGCTTCATCTGCGGAATCTTCCATAGATAGTCTTGTTATTGTCCGGTAAGGTGCCATGGGCATCTATCATATCATGAGACGATGCTTGTTCCTATCAGCTATTGCAACTAACGACTGATGGAAAATGGTGACAGAAACACTATATAATTTGAAATAAATTACAAAAAAGAGATTTGCATAAAGATTCTATCTTCATTAACAGTCCAAAACTGATAGAGCAGCTCTAATGCCGAAGATACAGCTAACCTTTAGTTGGAATACTATGTATCACGTATAATAAATCATATTAGATGTTTTGGCAGTTGTTATGGGTAAAGAGAAGCAATAAAAATGTACATAGTAACTTGGAATCAGTTAGACGTATCACAGAATTAAAAAGGCTATACAAACACGAGCTGCCAAAGAGATAGTCTTACGAGAGAGGTTCTTGTGAAACATGAAATAAGACTCACTCCGAATACGTATTATTTATTACCAAATTGTATTCTACATGCCCTGTGTTTGCCACCTACCATGATTAGGCTTAACGTGGAACTACCTAGTGAGATAGAATTATTATAAACTGATATCATCTGATTCCACAAATCCTCCATACACCATGATTCATTATCAGTTGTTCCCAGAGACTACTTGGTTACCATACTATCAAGAACATGCAGAACCTCAAACAACAGTAAAACAGGACAGAACAGAACCGAACAGAAAGGAGAGCAGCATATTTCCATTCCTCAATGGGACATCGTAGTTTTAGAAACAGCAACGTTTACATTGGCTTCCTTCCTGACAGCCACTGGAGGCACTTCCACTGCACTAACCGAGTAAAACTCAGTGACGTGACACGGAAACCCCAACATTTTCCTATGCGAAAGCTTGGATGCTAGTGCAGAACTTGTCATGCACACGTATCGGTTTCCCAATGCCTCCTTGATGGCATTGCGGAAAGCGAAAAGATGAGTAAAACTGTTTTTATACATATTTAGGGCACTTATCCCTAGTTATAGAACTGTCCCAAGCACTATAGCCTCACCTCAATGTGAATAATTAGTGAAAAATAAAGCTTATAGCCCTTTATGTCTATAAAAAAAATACTAAATAAAAACTAAGAATTTGTGTGGCCTAACCATCCACCACCAGACATTGTACAAAGAGGAAAGGTTCAAAGTGTACCAGCCATTGTTCTGTGATTCGCTCATGCAGTACACGTGTTACTAAGAGTTTGTGAGTTTTATTGCTGTGAATCTTTGAAATACATTCGTACACTGCACATTACTGAGAGCTGTATTGATGTAGGGCTCTGTGATACATTCAGACATCGTCAATAAGTTTTATATAAATCGAATGTGCAAAACTGAGAGGGACACAATAAAAGAGACACATTTGTTGTTGGGGTATGGAGGTGTCAATGGGACACATAATAATTAGTAGCCAGAGAGAGTGCAGGAGATGCCCTGGGAGAAGGGATGCAAAGAGAAAGAGTTAAACTTGTGGTGAAAGGAGATTTGACAGTTTTATAGCGAACTCTATTGAAGAACAGAGAGCTGAGTCACTCGCTTTGTCAGGAAAGTCAGAATCAGAAAGATTAAGAAAATTGGTGTGAAGAATCACCTTTCATGCATTCGGTACTTTCCCTCCCTGCTACTTTGTTCATGGATTTATTACCTCTATTACTAGTTCATACGTTACTTTCTATTCATCAAAATCCCTTGTTCGGTAAAATAGCTATTTTACCGAACGAGGAACACCCTGGGTAGCAATTAGAATGTAGAATCCAGTTATATTGCACAAAACCACAAGCTAATTGAGTGCTCCTGGGTGGCTGCCATTTCGGGACACGAACACGTGGCGAGAACAATGGATGGCGGCCATCTTAAACTCCCGAATGGCCGGCCAGCGGAACTTATGCATCGAGTGCCTGGAACTAATTTCGGCATGGCTCTCCAGCAATACCCAGTCCCCCATGGAAGTCCCGACTGACCCATTTACACGAATTGCACACGAATGGCGTTCGGGAGTTTCAATCTACCGAATGAGGGGAGCACTCTCAGGTAACCAGCTACATTATATCTATGGGGGTTTTCGTGCAATATTCATCTGAACGGAGACCGGCTCGCACCACTGATTTCATGGAACTCTGGGTCGGCTACAAACTCATGGCGAGCCGGTCAAACTTCCACACGGTATAACTCCAAAACTACCGAACGGATTTTTACGAAATTTGGATAGGTTGCTCACATCACCCTCAGCTACCCAGGGATATGTTTTTATATTGATATGTTATGTATAAAGTATGTTTCTAATAATTGTGGAAAATTGTTAACTTTTCTGGCCACTAGATAATTGAGTTTCATAACTGCTCAAACCCAATTATCTAGCCAGGCCCAGAGGAGGAGTTATGTACTGTATAAATTGTGTGCCATGTTTCTCAGTAGTTCAGACTTGTTCCAGCATTAAGCCTTGGCTCATGTGTGGATTATTCGGCGATTATTCAGCGATACCAGCGATTTATTACTCTGTGGATTACTTGGTGATTTTATTTTATGGGAAGAAGGGAATGCTTGACGGAGTAAAGGAAAATAGCCCAAGCTAAAATCATTCATAAAGGAAGGGATGAAAGCAGGGGCAGAGGGAGAGAATTGCCAAAATAATACGTAGATACTAAAGACTCGTTTTAATAAACCTAGAGATTTCTAAAGCTTGCTTTAAAAAAGTAAACAAATTTTTTTCATCTAATGAAAATTAAACTTCTTCAACATTTCTGTTATAATTCATATTTGTGTTAAAACACTATAAATCCGTATGTTTAGCTTTTTCTCTAATTTTCATGCTTGTTAGAACGAGGGTAGGCAACCTTCAGTACGCTATATGTTGTGAACTACATCTTCCATAATGCATCATGGGAGATGTAGGCCACAACATCTGGAGTACTGAAAGTCACCTACCTCTGCTGTAGAATACAGATGCTGTAGATTTACATCTCAAGGGCATCTATACAGTTTGATAGCACAATGTCTATAGACAGTGAGTTCTGTTCAATTTCCACTAACTGATTCAAAGAGAAGGTGCGTTTTTGATGCATAAACACAGATGACCCTGCAATCTTATTATTAATGAAAAATAGCTTTTCTTTATTTTCTTTGCTTTTCTCCCTGGTGTTCCTTGCTCACTGCATTACATGTGCTGCAGTTCGCTATTCATATATCTTTGCCACCGAGTGATGAATAGTGTAGAATTCAATGGCATCTCTGTATGCAACAAAAACAATCACAGTTTCTCTGCTTCTGTGTGTAGGAACATCTAAAGGTTGTACTAAAAGATCACCTTCTCAAGGTCAAACAAACCAGAGCTGTGAAACAATTTGATGTTTCTAGATCGGTTCAGTTTCAACATGACCAAAGGAAGTCCTTATTCTAGAGTTTATGTCAGCCAGTTTAAAACAATTCAAGTATACAGTATGTATTGCATAAGAAAACTCTAGTGGTAAACAGTTTTTGAATACAAGTAGTGAAGACAAGAATGAACTTTTGGTCCAATGATTGGAAATCGTGGCATGATAATGGTTGGTGAATGTAGTCTACAATGATACTCTACCAGTTTTTAGCCAACACAAATGAATATATTTCAGTTAAGTTATATTTAAGTTAATATCAGGTGGGAATAGGTTTACAGAAGTGGTCAACTGGCTCAATAATTTATTAATGAAAAGAAAAACATCGGAAGCCTTAAAAGGTTAATGAATACAGGGAATAAAAAAAATAATAATGTCAAAATAAGGGGAAAAATAAAAATGAATCTATATAAAGGAGCTATTATAGAGTAGGCACAACCTTTGCCTCCAGAAAAGCTTCATTCTTGGAATTCTGTTGTACGTGGCTCCAGCTTAGTGTGTTTGTAGACATCTTCAAGAAGAAGAGTCTCCTCAAGTCATCCTCAAATATAGAAAATCAAATGAAGATGACCCATCCAACGTAATAACCTTTCCCATAACTCATGGTCCCTATTTTGTGCTCCTAACTCCAGGCTATTTATACGTTATCTGTGTTTTATTTAAAAAAAAAAAAATGTTGTTATAAATTTCCAATAGTTGTCATAATTCTGTGTTCATTTTAAAGGCTTTACTTTTTGCTGCTAAGCTGTGATACCCCTATTTATGTTTTTTAACATGAGAACACTGTCCATCTTTGATTCTGCATATAGTCTAAGTGTGGCATATGCTGTTATTAGGAAACAATTCACCCGATACAATCAATTATTTTGTTATTTAAGCAACCCATGCATTGCAATTTGACCACTTACTGTTCGGTCTCTTCTGGAATTCTAGTTGGCTAATGTAATGCCAAAAACTCATACCCATGTGAATGTGATAATTGTCAGACTTAATTTACAGCTGACTGTACTGCTAATTGGCAATCGACTTAATATGGTTCAGTTTTGAAGAGTTATTTATAGCGCTGATTTAATTACATCAACGTTAAACTTTTTTATGTGTTATTTATTTTATTTTTTTTGCATGCTATTTGAGTTTTTCAGGCTATTTATAATTTCGAACTAAAACTTTGAAGAACATTAGGCTTCGAGGAGTCACAGGAACACGGAATAAGATTGTAAACAGTATGCGGTAAGATTGACTCCCGAGTCCGTCTCCCGCCCATATTCTAGAAAATCTCATACACAAGTAGAGCAACATAAACATATTATTTTGAGGAACTGGGTGCAGTTTTAGCGAAGAGTTCCATACAAGTTTATATATTAATAGGTGATCAATAGCGATGTCCCTAACGGTTCGCCGAACGGTTCGCCACGGACAGCGAACATATGACCCTGTACCTCACAGTCAGCAGACACAATCCAGCCAATCAGCAGCAGACCCTCCCTCCCAGACCCTCCCACCTCCTGGACAGCATCCATTTTGAAGCTGCATTGTTAGTGAGCTGTCCAGGAGGTGGGAGGGTCTGGGAGGGAGGGTCTGCTGCTGATTGGCTGGAATGTGTCTGCTGACTGTGAGGTACAGGGTCATATGTTCGCCGTCCGTGGCGAACCATTCGGCGAACCATTCGGGACATCACTAGTGATAAATAATACTATTAGATATCCACCCCTATGCCATATAGACTGCATATTTCTCACATTCAAATGCAGAAACTATGCACAGCTTACAGGAAGACAAAGAGTTAATAGACAAAATATGTTTTAACATATAATTGTGAAACAAATCATTGTTTTAAAATAAAAGAAGAAAGAAGTGCAAAGAAAGTGAGAAAAGGGTTTACTCATTATTACATTAGTAAAATAACAGGAAGGGACAATGGACCGACTTGTCTGTCATTTATGTGTCTTGTTCGTCCACTGTATAGTGCTGAAGAATATGCGGGCAAAATAAAATATTCTAAAATTCATATCAATGATTTTGACAAGCATAATGTATAATGTCCTTTAACCCCTTAAGGACACATGACACGTGTGACATGTCATTATTCCCTTTTATTCCAGAAGTTTGGTCCTTAAGGGGTTAAAGTGTGACAATGTCATTGTCTTTTTTTGGAGGGAAGGGGAGTTGGTGAGTCATGTACTGTACGAGTAGTATGTCATCAGAGATCCCCCGTGTGGCCATTTAGCAAACTGCAAGCAAGGTAAAAAGTCATTTGGACATACACCATCTGTATTTTGCACATCAATAGTTATTCAAAAGTGTGAAATGTAAAATGATGGTCAATAATACACAGAACAGTGCTATTTTTAGAATATACATTCTCAACTATATTTTCATCTCAGCTATTCTGCCAATTCTCTTTTTTATAACCATTTAAACTTGGTTGTTATGCACTGTCCCATAGAACAGATATTTTGAAAAGCATTGCTATGAACTCACAATAATATTGGTTACTTAAATGCAAATTGTAATGTCTCTGGAATTTACAGCATTGAATGAAATAAGTCACCTATAATTTGTGTTAACCTTTTATCATGACTTGCCGTGTTCTCTATTGAATTTATATTAATGTTTCATCAAATACTATTCATAGTATTCAATACTCAGAACTTTTTCATCACGTAAACCATTTTAGTCGGTCAATGCAGTGGAAGCGCCTCTAGGGCCTCTCAGGAAGACAGTCACCCGAGGTGGATTTTAACCCCGCAATGTAAACAATGTCTAAAAGACTTCCATGTGTTACATTGCAGGATAAAAGGACAGGACCGCAGCTGAGATGATGTGATCAAGGTGACTTTAGTGTCCTATTAGGCCACATTGATTTTAATTGTGCTATTTTACATATCTTTCCCACTGGTATACATGCTAATTGTATGTTTAGCTTAGGGATCACTACATGATACATGCTCCTCATCCTCTGTCATTTTTACCCCAAAACAGTGAATCCCACCCAGTGAGTTGTGCAGATGCCATAAACACAGGGTATAATGCAGTGACATGAATAGTGTCATAATAATGCAATCTGGAGGCCCAGTTTCATGTAGAACCAGGAAATAAATGATTGTTGGGATTTGCACCAGTATCTGCCCCCATTTTCATGAAAACAGCTGGAATACTTACTTCCCAACACTTGGAGGTATGAAATTAGAACAGGATGTATACGGGTCTTAAGGGGTGCTCCAGTAATGCCAGTAATGTAAAATGTGTCATTAGCGAAATGCACAATGGGTTCAAGTCAGATGGGGCATGTCTGCCTGGTATAAATATCCTGGCTGGGACCACTCAGGGTGGACCAATCACAGAGCACTGCATAAGCACTGTGTACATGGTTAGAATGCTGACCCCATTGGCAAAAGCACAGGAGCATCATTGCACTTCCTGGGCACAGATTCCTGGTGTCATAAGATGCAGGGCACAAGGGGACAAAAGCAGGATGGACCCTGAAACCAGGATGGTCAAGCCAGATTTAGCACTGTCCAAGGAAATAGCTGCCACATGGGACTATATCTTTCAATAATCCCAGGCAGGGACATTTCTAAAGATATCGTTTCACACTGTATGTATAAAACGGCTCTCTGTATATTAAAGAGTGATAGTGCTCTTTGTATAATGACAGAGCTGGCAGTGGTCATTTTATAATAGAGCATATTGTCAGTGCTGTGCACAGTATTTAGGACAGCGTGATATGGGAGAGGAGCAGATTGGTCTGTGGGAGGCAGTAATGAGCTCACTAATTAGCCTGTTCTGGGTTATATTTAGCTTTCATACTGCCATGTGCAGCTGTCTGGGCTGAGATATACTGTAATAATCGGAAGTACCATTGTTTCTCTCTAAGATCCAACTCCCGCTCCCCGTGCAAGAAATATCTCATATTTAGCTCCATTAAACCCATTATTAGTGCTTGTTTGTGTTAAAGAAATATTTATTTTTGGTATTTACTTCTGACTATATGACTATAGGATCCTGATTCCTGACATTCACTATTAGTTTTCATTACTATGACTGATTATTCACTTGTATTAGGTGAAGAATTCCTAATCTCACAGCAGAGAGGACCTTCGGGATAACCCACCACATGATAGAGTAGGCTTGTACCTAATCTGAAGGAATAACCAGAGCCCCAAAGATTCTTCTTTTCTTATTTTTTGGTGAAAGGCTAACTCGTCAGCTGTTCCCCAGTTAGTATGGGTCCCATTCTCTGTTATTTAGATAAGGGGACCATTTGCATGTCCCATCTGCTAATATTGGGGCACTGTGAACACAGCATGTATGTTTACATTAGGTATTGCGTACCTACATTGGGAGGTATGAGATCCGGACGGGTGAGCCTTGAGGGGACGTCACGAGTGACACAACTTGCTTCACCCAGAAAACAAGGCACACTGAAGGGACATGTCAGTCTGGCGTCAAGCATGCAGGTTGACAGACAGCTTCCCGACTCCCAACATGCAGGACCATGAAGAAAGCATTGCTGATGCACTTTCTGCATGGTCCTAGTACTAGGCTAATGCCCTGGCACCGTGCTGCTCAAGGACAGTTTCCTGGTTTTATTCCTCAGATGTGGAACCCTGAAATCTGGACTGTCCCTCCAAAATCGAGAGACTGGTAGGAGTCCTAGTATTGTATGACAGGAAGGGTTTGGCTTCGGATAACTGGGTATTGGCAGCTTATTACCTTTATCTCATTGGGAATAATTACCACACTCATAATTTTAGGGTTTGTTTGGAGCCCAACAAATCAGCAATGAAATTTCAGGTAGAGGGTTAAACATGGAGCCAGAAAATGCAGTGCTATCGGTTGAAGGTTTGTAAAAAGATTGTGGGTTTCTATTGGGTCACATTAAATCTGGGACTATGGGATTAGGTTGAAAAAGCAAATTCTAAAAGGGGAGCAGTCACCATGGAAGCCGATGGAATGTTCCTGTTTAGACACATTTTCCGAACCATACGTTTTTCTCCTGTAATCCATAGCTATTTCTCACCCCTCTTTCTCTCTTCTCTCTGGGGATTTTACAGTCTCACTCCTTCCCTCTCACTTTCACTTTCTCCCTTTCCCATTGATCGCTCTCCCTTTAATCCCCCTCCCCCTTACCTCTTTAAGCCCTTGACCCAAATGTTTTCTATTTTTCCACCCCCCAAACACCTCCTGGGGTACCCAGAGGCTCTGACCCAATTATCATCTTTCAAATAAAAATCAAGAGAGAGAGAAATAAGCTGACGCGCAAACAGCATTAACAGAGTGACTGAAGTCTATAATTATTAGCAAGCAGATTAACCCTATATGTTCCCTCTCCGTAGGAATCCAAGACCTAAATCAGTTCAACTCGTTTAAACCAAAGCTTTCAAAGTCGAAAGACATCTTGGAGGGAATAGTGCCATTAGCAATGAGAATGTCCACTTACCGCTTTGCAATAAAGGGTAATGTTAGGTTTGAGAGTATGTAAGATATGTGTTTTTTTAAAATAAATTGATAATAGTATTTATATTCAGTCATACACTGGAAATTCTATTATTTTACAATAATATGAAAAAAAAATTTACAGCAAGAAAAGGATGATATTAAAATTACGTTTTTATTAATTCATAGTTGCAATCAGCAGGTTTACAATTTCTTTTCAATACAGCTTCAGTCCACAAGCCTATTATTGCTATAATACATAATTATATTGCCCTATTTCTTTAATGTGGAAGGATTAAAGCACGTTTTAGCTATTAACCATTCCACTTTTATCCAGCAACTAGCACCAACCTATTCATTTTGTAGGCTCGGGGAGTGAAACTGTTCATATCTATTAGTGTTTCCAGTTTCGCTGTAGTTTCTGCATTTATTAGGTTAATAGGAAGGGGACATAATGCTGAACTAACTTAATAGTCACAGGATCTGGAGCCCTAATTAGGACTGGTTGAAGTGTTTCCATTATAATGAAAGGTTCGTTTCATTCCAGTCTTATCCAGCAAAGGAAGGAAACGCATTTCTTGAGCAGGGACTGGACGGAAAGCAATCATCAAGTTGCTACAAAACTACAATTTATACTTCTATTACAGTTTGGGATCTGTGTTTTGGCCATCCATGAACGCAAAGCCCCAACTTCATGTAGTCACTCAAGTCAAAGTCATAAACTCCAAAATTATTCAATATCATGACAAGTCACGATATGTCCAACTGGTCCTTTATTGCTCCACCGTTGAGGTGGTTGTTCAAACCCTATGTAGGTTCTTCTAAAGCTTGTAGAAGACAAATGTGTTTTTCTAAGTGGGGAGTTATGATATTTCTTTGGACATTAATACTCTGGCTATGTTTGGTCAAAGGTAACATTACACTATTACTTTGATCATATATGTATGTTATCTCAAAGGTATAAAGAAATCTAAAGACATTTTATGCCAGTTTACCCTTAGTGATTATTCAAATCTTTTCTCATAAAACATATATACGTATGTATATAACAAGGGACCTGGTGTAGGTTCACCACTAGCTGGTCACCACATTCATTAATAGTAGCACACGCATCATTGTTCATGACCTTTGGTACAAAAAGTTCTGCATTATATTAGCTATATAACTTGATCATAGTCAGATTACTGATCTACGCCAAATATGTCTGTATATTCTAAATATTTCCTTTTTTGTTTCAGCTCTCTTGTGACTGTTGGTTGGTGACTTCCTCTTTTGCATTCTGAGTCTTCCAGTGGAATCTGTTCTGGTGGTGGACTCTTGACTCTGGTCTCTTTGTTTGGCTCACTTTCTCTGACCACTGGGTGTCTTTGGATTCTAAAGTTCCACATGAAGTTAGAGGCAGTCCCTGGTGCCCCCCAGGATGGGGATTTGGAATTTGTTTTGGCCACTGACAAGGAGTTTGAAGAGATCGTATCTATGTCCCATGGCATTTATGGAGGTCTTGATTATTTGCCGAGTAGATACCACAGCTGGATCGGTGAGAAGGACAGGATGGTTGTACTTGCAAAGAAAGGAGGGAATGTGGTGAGGGGATTTACCTATATAATCTCTATTTCAAGTATCATTTTGTTGACAATTTCACTCTCTTTAAATAACTCAACTTGATGGATGCATGTCTCATTTCAACTATGTAACTATGTAATCCCTACTCCATCTCACTTGAATATATGGTCACTGCTGTAACCATCTAAAAATGATAAATGACCTTGTTTATCTCCCGTTTATGTGTATTTTACCAGTTTTCCATTTCTCTGTCACATATTACTTGTGTTTTCTGGCAACCTTCTTCTCTAATATCCTCTGACCTCACCATCTGCTTGCTTATACCCTCGAACTGGCACACTGCCCAACTGCTGGCTCACCACTTCTGTCCAAACCCATGATCCCTATGTAATCTCTTGGCATCAGAAACATAGTGTCCAAATCATTTTATTCTGTTTCTCTTCCTGTTCAATGAGCTACTGTCACCTTGAATCATTTTGTACCCACTAATCATGTTCCCCCATATAACTGAACTATCTGTTTTGCAGATTGCCCTTCTCTCCATGTTTATTGTGGATGGAGGACAGACGGCTCTTCTTGAGGGGCTCCGAGTGGCCCCGTGGGAGCGTGGTAGAGGTGTAGCAGGGGTATTACAGAGGTTTTGCTGCCAACTGGTGAAGCATCGATATCCATCTGTAAAAGTGATGAGGTTGACGAGGGACGACAAACTAACGGCAAAGGAACTGACCAAATACAGAGTTATTGCAAAGCAGGTAAGGAAGGGAACATTACATGGGGAATAAGCCATTAAAATAACTTGATACATTGTGAATGTAATAATACAAACTATGTGACAACTTTTTTCTTTCTCCCTCTTTCTCATCCATCTCTCCTGCTCCTCTTGTTCTTTGTTCCCCTTTACCCACTTTTCCTGTTTGCTCGTCCTTTTATTTTCCCGTGATTTGCTCACAGGGCATTCTGCTTCTCCAATTCAATGCACCTGAACTTTCTTCCCGTCTCTCATCCCTTCCTTTACCTCCTGGGCCTTCTTGCCCACCACCCCCCATTCTCCTGAATCCTGATCATGTCCGTAGTGTCTTCCTGGAAAGAGGAGGCATCTTGAAAGACCTCCTCCCCAACCAGACCGTCATCCAGGACTGGCAACCGTTTCAGGCACTGCCTGGTAACCATGACCTACTCCGTCGCAAATCCCTGCGCTGGATGGCGGATGATCTTGCACAGCCCCGGGTGGCTACTGTCTGCACTCCACCTTTCCCAGTCCCTGCAGGGCCCCTCTGCTTCTACCTCAACATTGATGTCTTCGGTTCAGGGCTTCGAGGTACAAAAGAGCAGCTTCTTTCCCACCTGGCAGCATTTGCCCCGTCCCTGCCAGGTGATGTTAAATGCCAGCTCTTCTTACCTCCAAGCATGTGGAGGCCCATGGCTGATTTCTGCACCTCTGTTCTGGGATTTCATTTGGAGAAAGGTTACACAGAGCAATACCTCCTCGAGTCTGATATGTAGAGGATTGAGGGGTAACACTCCAAACACTCCTCAGCTAGAATGGGCAAGTAAGCCTTCTTCCCTAGACATTTACTCCTTCCCCTTTGCTGAGACGTTCCTTCTTTTTACATTTGACTCCCCTCAGCTGGTACACTTACCACACATCCATATATATATATATATATAGCCCTTCCCAAGAAAACAAACCCCAGTATCATAATCATCACCCATATATACGTATATATGCTATAAAGGATGCTGCACTGTACATAGTGGAAAAAAGTGTGTATGTATAATAATATGTTATAAGCAGAAACTGAAAGACACCTACACTTAGATATTTCTGAAATGAATTAGGGTCCTTCTCAAAAGTTACTGGTTTCATCAGTCCTGCTAAAACTTGTCAGTACCTTATTTTACTAAAAAGCTTTAACCCCTTAAGGACACATGACATGTATGACATGTCATGATTCCCTTTTATTCCAGAAGTTTGGTCCTTAAGGGGTTAAGGAGCACTATAGGGTCAGGAACACAAACATGTATTCCTGACCCTTTAGGGTTAAACCCATCATTTAGCCACCCTGGTCCCCTCATGCCTCCCTAAATATAGTAACATCTTACTTGTATTCAAGCCTGAAGATGCAGGCTTTGTCCCTGTTTCCTTTAGACCTGCCCAGTGCCTGCTGACATCATCAGAAGTAGTAGCCTGATCCAATTACAATGCTTCCCCATAGGATTGGCTGAGACTGACAAGGAGGCAGATCAGGGGCAGAGCCAGCATGATTCAAACACAGCGCTGGCCAATCAGCATCTCCTCATAGAGATGAATTGAATCAATGAATCTCTATGAGGAAAGTTCAGTGTCTGCATGCAGAGGGAGGAGATACTGAATGTTTGGATGCATTTTAGGCAGCCATGACCCAGGAAGGATCTCTAACAGCCATCTGGGGAGGGGCCAGTGAAGTTACCACTAGGCTGTAATGTAAACACTGCATGTTCTCTGAAAAGACAGTGTTTACAGCAAAAAGCCTGAAGGGAATGATTCTACTCACCAGAACAAATTCAATAAGCTGTAGTTGTTCCGGTGACTATAGTGTCCCTTTAATTTGCTACTAACTTATATTTTGCTTCCCATTGAAGGAATTAATAGCATTCAAAAGCTTTCAGATGCAGCAAGACTCACAATCAAAATACAAGCCACTTTATGCTTTCTTCATGTTTTGTAGGTAGTCATCTTGTCTATTTGTAGTTTATATGTATTTTTTTTATGTATTGACATTTCCAATATGTTTTTTTAGAAAATTGTGATCATTTAAACGAACTAAAAGCCAATCTTTGGTTTGCATTTGGACATTTGGACCACCTATGGTGGCAACATTCAAAACTCTTTAGTGATATATATAATATTTTTGCTAGGGCAAACATAAACTACCCTCCTTACCAAAAAAAAATTCATAAAAGACAAAACAGTAAAAAAAACAAATAGCCAAGTAAAATATAAGCATAATATTAACTTTAACACTAGTACTAACCTTCATCCCAACAGTAGCTTGATAAAAGACAAAACAATTATTAACACATTAACTGAAGACTTTAATATTTTCAGTAACAGCCAATGATTCCAAATAATAGCTAGAGTTAGATCTTATCCGTAACATATTATTATAATTGCACACTTAAAGCATAAGTGAGAATATTGTGATTTCTCCTAAAAATTGCTAACATTGCACTCTATGTGTGAGAGCATGTCTATGTATTTGTCTGTGTGAGCGTGTCAGTGTCTGTGTGTGATTACGTGTATATATACATACACACATCTGGGAAAGGGGTGTGACATGGGCTACATAGGGGTATGGGTTTTATACTCTGCACTAAGATATTTGAGTGTGTGATAATATATTTATATATTTATTGCACTTTTTTATGGAAAGAGGGGGGAGGGTAATGTATTGCACTGTGTATATATACATACACATACGTGTGTTCCTGTCTACATACAGACATATTTTAATACAGTTATCTTTACACATGTGATGTGTGAAGGTATGCAATAATTTGCACTGCAGATAATGGTATTGATATTATAATATTTAGTTTTATTGTAAACAGTGATCACATGCACTTGTCGGGATAGAAATTCCTGACCCCAAAAAAATGAATGAATTCTCAAAGGATTATGAATCATGACCTTTTTAAAGTGAACACCAGCTATGGATTTGTCCCAAAAAAACCCTCTTAGGTAGACTTAACATCTTTGGAGCCCTATATGACCCATAATTGAAATATGAGTAAATTTCTACTCCAACCGAAACACAGTGTTTTCATAAAACACAGTTTTTGGTCACAGTGACCCTTGCTGTGTTGGTCACACCTCCCCTCCACCCCCCAAAAAATCTAAAAACTTAACTGAAGCCAAGTCGTCCCTCAGGCGATCCACTTCCACTGATGTCATGAAGTGATGTCATGGAGCACGATCTGAGGCGACAGCATGGGTGACACGGAGGTGGGACCCTGCTGCCATTGAACGCCTGTTACCAACACGCTGTGTGTGCTGATGTCAGATGCCCAATATGCACAGAATTCATATTAGTCAGCCAGAACTGTTGTTGATGCAGCAGAGGGGTTAAACTCAGTATGTGCAGCATTTCTTAGCGAAAGGCAGCACACAGACTCCAGACACCATGACCACTTCAAATCACTGAAGTAGTCATGATGTTTGGTGTAACCCTTTACTAGGACTACATGTTTTTACAGAGTATGAACAGGTCAACAAAACAAAAACGAGTTATATAAATTCATCTATGACATGAGGCCGGCCAAGAACCCACAGATTCTAAGGAACACAAAGGTTGGCCATGCACTTGCTTAATTATTGTTAATATTTTTCATAATATTGTTCTATATAAAGTAACAGAGCAGTACAGAGCATGCCGCAAAGTCAGCTCAGCTGGAATTAGATTGGGGTACTTTGTTTAAATTAGTCTAATATCCAGCTTTTATACTATAACACTTGACATTCTACAAACCCAGCTTGTCCCCAGTACCCATATAATGCCCCTGTACCCATAGAATGCCCCAGAAACCACTGAGTGAACATTATACCCAAATAGTGCCCAGTTAGTCATATTGTGCCCCAGTACCCATTTAGTGCCCCAGTACCCTTAGAGTGACTCCCATAGTAAACAAAATGTAAATGCAATAAAAACAGACCATACTGAATATACCCACTACATAAAGTCATAAAGCAAAAATAATCAACCTACAGATAATATATTTGCTATATACACTGACTCACAGGAAAAGTATAGACTCACAGATAATATGCCTACTGTATACACTGACCAACAGTCAAAATTATAAACAGAGAATATACCTGCTATATACACTGATCCACAAGAAAAATATAAACAGAGAATATACCTGCTATATACACTGACCCATAGGGGAAATTATAAATTCATAGAGAATATACCTGCTGTATACACTGACCCACAAGGAGATTATAAACAGAGAATATACCTGCTGTATACACTGACCCACAAGGAGATTATAAACAGAGAATATACCTGCTGTATACACTGACCCACAAGGAGATTATAAACAGAGAATATACCTGCTTCATACACTGACCCACAAGAAAAATATAAACAGAGAATATACTTGCTGTATACACTGACCCATAGGGGAAATAATAAATTCATAGAGAATATACCTGCTGTATACACTGACCCACAAGGAGAGTATAAACAGAGAATATACCTGCTGTACACACTGACCCACAAAGGAAGTTATAGATTCACAGAAAATGTATCTAATGTATACACTGACCCATGAGTGAATACACTTTTACTGAGTATATGCCACATTTAAAATGTTTTTGTCTTTATAGATGACATCTCTCTCTCTCTGTGTGAACACCAGCAGCACTGGTAATGCTATAAAACAGACCTTTTTCAAATCCTGCCGTCATCATCTTAACACCTAAGCCCAGATCGTTATACACTATTCCTATGGTCCTGTTTGATGCTCGCCTCCTTTTGTCTCCTTTTGTGCTTTTTTGTTTTGGCTTCAAAAGCTCCCCTTTGTATTTGATGTTACCTTCAAACACTACTATTTTATAGAATATTTTATAGAAACTCCAATTTCCCAGAATTTGTCCCTAATGATAGGCCCTTATATCTCCAATTTGGAGGATGTTCCATTGGACCAAGAAAGTTCCATTATACACTGAATTTTTGTGTGTGGCTTTCTAGACTTTGTCTTAAATGAAGCCTCCGGTGGCATGCTCACTGGGTGCTGAACCTTCGTAAGCCATCTATTTCTATTACCCATGAGCTGCCACTGTTCCAATTTAATTCATTAATAGTTTGAGCATCTTGTTTGTATTGTCACCTGCATATTCTTTTTTCTTTAATATCTGCATTCCCTTTTCCTTAAGCTCATCGTAGATGTCAAAACCGCTCAGTAAAGATGTCAAGCTATTGTGCCATCCAACAAGACTAACTTCATCTCTCGCCCTTCACCCAAACAAATGCCATAACATAACCATGAAATGCAATATACCCACTAAATATACCAAACAATTAACAGGCAGTACACATTATACTTTCCTTGTTTGCATGGGAACCATATAACACTAAACAAACACTCCTGCTGTGTACAATGACAATAACACACAAAGGAGAGACTCGTGTGTACAAAATTAGAATACAACACACATACACTTCATATATACAACCGTCATACAACCTCAGTTGTGCTCACAACTGATATGAAACATAATGAACTCTCAGTATGCATTATTATACTATTCTATTATCATATTAATTATTATTTATAAAACATATTCACCTCTGGTGTTCGTAATTACCAAAGAAACACAACTACGCACCCTCTGTGTACTTAAAAAAAAATTACTAAACAACACAATGCCACCATACTTTGTGTACACAATACAAATCGTCCACTCCTTGTGCATTATTTCACTAGAACACAACGTAACCACTTCTTTTCAGAACCACCTCTTGATCACAGAAATTACAGATAGATTATGTTCCAGCCCAGCATTGCCAAGGCTAAATTCGTAAAATTATATTTTGTGGCAAAAAGTAAAAACTAGTATTAACTAATGACAACTCCATCCTAACGCAGTAGACTTTACAACTAATATGTATCGATAATCACAATAGTTCAAATGAAAGGTCTTGATTCTCATCCCTGGGTCAATACATTTCAACTAATTGTGTTTGGTTGCTAGACGTTCCAGGGTTGAGTACCAGCACTATTTAAGCACAATTTAGATCTTCCAGTGGATTCCACAGTGAATCAACTCCTTGTATATATCCTTCATTTTAAACCAGTATTTGCATCTAGTGTGTATACTTATAAAAGATGAGAGCCTTAAAGTCTTGCCTGATAACAAAATATTACAACGGGAATTAAGGTTATAGCATGGATCAACAAATGCCCAAATATATTGTATACAATTCATAAATGATAAATTCATAAATTTTGACAATATTGGCAAAAGTAAAGAATATATATATATATTTATCCTGAGATTAAGAAAAACAAACCTATCATGCGCATCAGGTCCTCAAAAAGAGAAAATACATTTTCAGAAGTGTGTGTATTGCCTTTTAACATGGGCACACATTTAGTTACCTTTTAACATGGGCACACATTTAGTTACCAATTGTGTTATATATATTTACTCACTGTGTACACTCAAATCGTAAAATACTATATACTTACCTAATATGTTCACAAATACTGTAAAACAGGTCATATTTATCCATTTTACTGTAAAGTATTTATCCACGGTGTATACCTAAATCGTAAAACATAAAACATTTACCCACTGTACACATATACTGTAAAACAGAAATATTTACCTACCGTGTACACACAAAAATGTATAACAGAAATATTTACCTACTGTGTACACATATACTGTAAAACAGAAATATTTACCTATTGTGTACACAAAAAATGTAAAACAGAAATATTTATCGACAGCGTACACAAAAACTGAGAAAGAGAAATATTACCCACAATGTACACTTATACTATATAACAGAATGGTGTACTTACTGTGTAAACATATACTGCAAGACAGAAATATTTACCCACCATGTGCATAAATACTATAATACAAAACATATTTCCCCATTCTGTATGCTCAAATTGTTAAACATGAAATATGTTCCTACTGTGTACACAAATACTATAAAACATGCCATATATACTCATTTTTTACACACATACTGTAAAGTATTTATCTTCTGTGTACACGTATACTGAAAAGCGGAATATATTTACCCACTGTGTACACATATACTGTAAAACAGAAATATTACCTTATGTGTACACATATACTGTAAAACAGAACTATTATCCGCTGCACACACATAAACTGTAAAAGAGAAAATATTTCCCTACTGTGTACACATATACTGTAAAACAGAAATTAATTTCCCCATTCTGAACACTCAATTTGCTTAACACTAAATATTTACCCACTGTGTACAGACATACTGTAAAACAGGTAATATTTACCCAATTTACTATAAAGTATTTATCAATGTTATACACCTATATCATAAAGCAGGGGACATTTACCCACTGTACACATAAACTGTAAAACAGAAATGTTTACCTGTTTTCACAAAAACATGTCATATATATTTGTTTTATACAACATACTGTAAAGTATGTATCTGCTGTGTACACCTTTATTGAAAAACTGAAAATATTTACCCCCTAAGTACGTATAAACTATAAAACAGAAATATTACCCCCTGTGTACACATATACTGTAAAACAGAATTATTACCCACTGTGTACACATATACTATAAAACAGAACTATTGCCCACTGTGTACACATATACTATACAACAGAAATATTACCCACTCTGTACACATATACTTTAAAACAGAACTATTACCCACAGTGTACACATATATTGTAAAACAGAACTATTATCCACTGTGTACACATATATTGTAAAACAGAACTATTACCCACAGTGTACACATATACTGTAAAACAGAACTATTATCCACTGTGTACACATATACTGTAAAACAGAACTATTACCCATAGTGTACACATATACTATACAACAGCAATATTACACACTATGTAGACATATACAATAAAACAGAACTATTATCCACTGTGTATACATAGAAACATAGAATGTGACGGCAGATAAGAACCATTCGGCCCATCTAGTCTGCCCAATTTTCTAAATACTTTCATTACTCCCTATACATATACTATAAAACAGAAATATTATCCACTATGTACACATATACTGTAAAACAGAATTATTACCCACTGTGTACACATATACTGTAAAACAGAAATTAACTTACCCATTCTGTATACTCAAGTTGCTAAACATTATTTACCCAAGGTGTACACACATACTGTAAAACAGGTAATATGTATCAATTTTATTATAAAGTATTTAGCAACGCTATACTCCTATATTGTAATATAGGAAAAATTTACCCACTGTGCTCATATACTGTAAAACAGAACTATTACCTACTGTGTACACATATACTATACAACAGCAATATTACACACTATGTACACATATACAATAAAACAGAACTATTATCCACTGTGTATACATATACTGTAAAACAGATATATTATCCACTCTGTACACATATACTGTAAAACAGAATTATTACCCACTGTGTACACATATACTATAGAACAGAAATATTACCCACTGTGTACACATATACTGTAAAACAGAACTATTACCCACTGTGTACACATATACTGTAAAACAGAAAGTAACTTACCCATTCTGTATACTCAAGTTGCTAAACATTAAATATTTACCCAAGGTGTACACACATACTGTAAAACAGGTAATATGTATCAATTTTATTATAAAGTATTTAGCAACGCTGTACTCCTGTATTGTAATATAGGTAAAATTTACCCACTGTGCTCATATACTGTAAAACAGAACTATTACCCACTGTGTACACATATACTATACAACAGCAATATTACACACTATGTACACATATACAATAAAACAGAACTATTATCCACTGTGTATACATATACTGTAAAACAGAAATATTATCCACTCTGTACACATATACTGTAAAACAGAATTATTACCCACTGTGTACACATATACTTTAAAACAGAAATATTATCCACTGTGTACACATATACTGTAAAACAGAACTATTACCCACTGTGTACACATATACTTTAAACCAGAAATATTACCTTCTTTCAGTGTACACATATACTGTAAAACAGAAATTAATTTACCCATTCTGTACACTCAAGTTGTTAAACATAAAATATTTAGTACCTGTGTACACCAGGCCCTAACACAGTCCTGATCTAATTGGAACAGTCCTGATTTCAGGGTCATGTCCTGGCATCTTTATTTAGTTTTCTGGTGTCCCACATCCAGGGATACCAGGGATCTGTTGTGGGTGGCACAGGTCGAGCACATCATTAGTCAAGCTTGCGCTGTGAACAGACTCCAGGACCCTGCAGAGAGTGCTTCAGCAGCGCAGACCGCAAGGTCCTGTAGGTTACGGGCTGACCAGGCAGGCCCCTTCAGTAAGCCCTTCTTTTTCTGGTCGGTCCACCCCTTTTGGGAGTCATTAGTGACGCAAGCTGCATCACTGATAATGCCCCTACTAGGGCCCACCAACCTGTCTCAATCTCATACTGCCCAATGTCGAGTGGTATGGTGTACACATATACTGTAAAGCAGAAAATGTTTACTTATTTTGTACACACATCATGTAAAATAGAAACCATTTACTTGCTGTGTGCACAGAGATTGTAAAATAATATTCACTCACTGTGTGCACCCATACTAAAACCAGAATGTGTTTCTTCTCATTTTTCACAGATATTTACCCATTGTGTGTGCAAATTGTAAATAAGAAACAATCTATCCATTGTGTGCACACATACTGTAAAACAGAAAAATAATCCCCTATGTGTGCACATATACAAACAGAAAATATGTATCCATTACATGTACAAAGTTAATGCACTCACTGTATGCAATCATACTATAAAAGAAAAAGTATTTACAATTTTGTACAAACGTACTGTAAAACAGGAAGTATTTGCACAATTTGTACACACATAATTTAAGACAGAAATGATTTATGTGTACGCATATACTGTAAAATATTATTGACATATACTAAAAACCTGAAAGCATTCACCCTGTGCTAACCAACTGCAAAACAATACATAGAAACAGTAATACAATAGAACGTTTTTACAAACATACATAAGTGTACAAACATACTGTAAAGCAGGGAATATTTACCCACTGTGTACAAACATACTGTAAAGCAGGGAATATATACACATTACTGTGCAAAATGTATTTAATTATTATGCAAGCACTGATTTTTCTTTCTATTATTGCCTTACAGGTAAAAAAAAAAAATACATAAACATCTCTCTTGTTTATAAGTATACTCTAAAAATCATGCATTTCCCACGAAAAAAAACCCTGATGCATCCATCATTAACCCCTTGCTTACCAAGTCCATTTAAAAGAAATTACAGCAACGTTTCTATCTCTTTGAAACATGCGGTACGTAGTTAGAACATTACCTTGCAGAATACTGTTCAGATATACCTAATAAAGGTGACAATTACACCATTTTTTACACTTTTTTCCAGAAATATTGAATGAGATGTTTGAAAACTGAAAAAAAAACTTTGGGTTAAAAAACAAACAAACAATCACTTCAAAATATGAAAGATTAGCTCAGGGTCAGACATTTTAGCCACATGCAGTAAGTGAGTGCGATACAAATTGATCAAGAGGTCAAACATCTTGCTTCTAACTATTTGAATGGAACCTGCTGGTATGTTTGGGACTGCAACTTCCTGAACATACCACTGTAAGATAAAAGTAATGTCTGTATGTGGGCAATAGCAATGACACCATTCATAACGTGCCACTCAAAACCTGTTTGCAACTCATTATTGCAAAACATGCCAGTATGGCCTGTGCAGGCTTTAGAATATAGGCATAATGTATAACGGAGAAATATGTACAATATTCTAGCACATTATCATTTGTTTTCCTAATGGTACACAGGTTCTCCGTCTCTTTCTTATTCAGAAAACATTCATTTAATTATATTATAGTACTAAAGTCTAAATTACACAGAACATGGTGTCTTGGAATACACTTCTTGTAAAACACCTGAAGGCTTACTGAACATTATGGGCTGCACAGTAGAGGAGCATACCTGCTAATCTCTTGCTAATTATAACAATTTGCCCTTATTGTGTCCAATTTCCAGTGATGGAACCAAGCAACTTCTTGGGCACTTCTAGGTCTGTATGAATTGCAGGATGTCAGTGATCCCCATAGGGAATATACCCGCTAAATACACACAGTGACTGCAGGGTGTTAGTGACCCCCATAGAGAATATACCTCCTATATATACACAGTGACTGCAGGGTGTCAGTGATCCCCATAGGGAATATACCCGCTATATACACAGTGACTGCAGGGTGTCAGAGATCCCCATAGGGAATATACCCACTATATACAGTGACTGCAGGGTGTCAGTGATTCCCATAGAGTATATACCCCCTATATACACACAGTGACTGCAGGGTGTCAGTGATTCCCATAGGAAATATACCCACTATATACACAGTGACTGCAGGGTGTTAGTGATTCCCATAGAGAATATACCCGCTATATACACAGTGACTGCAGGGTGTCAGTGATCTCCATAGGCAATATACCCGCTATATACACAGTGACTGCAGGGTTTCAGTGATCTCCATAGAAAATATACCCGCTATATAAACAGTGACTGCAGGGTGTCAGTGATCCCCATAGGGAATATACCCACTATATACACACAGTGACTGCAGGGTGTCAGTGATCTCCATAGGGAATATACCCGCTATATACACAGTGACTGCAGGGTGTCAGAGATCCCCATAGGGAATATACCCGCTATATACACAGTGACTGCAGGGTGTCAGTGATCTCCATAGGTAGTATACCAATGTCTTATCCCTTAACATAGAGAATATGGAATGCTTGGTTTGAATTTGTCTGCTTTGGTCAGATCTCCAATATTGGATATTTCAAGTAAGTCCCATTCAATCCCCAATTCTATCATCTCAACATGACATGTTTCTATTCCCTGCCCACTTTATCCCCATATCTCACCAACCCAATATGGACCTATTCTCTACTTTTCTTTCCCAAATGATTGTGTACTTGAGGACCAGAAACATGGGGTATTGTGGATCACAATCCGAAAATGCTCCATCACCCATTGTCCTCTCATACCACAGCTTCATACAAAATAAACCGATAGATATTATGATATCTACGAGCACATATTGCTTCATAGTGTCACAAAAACATACGTAAAGATTCTATTGGAGCAATATTGGTGCTCTTCCATCGTTAGGACTTGCTTTTGGCTAGCAAAGGTTCACGGGAAATGTAGTTGACAACAACTGGACTGCCAATGGTTAGCCAAATTATTGTAGGGTGGGATAAGAAGACCAACACTAGACACAGAAAACTCTCACGTTTTGACATTATCTTCTAAGTCTACTGATCCATGGGACACCATACCAGAACATCATTACTGTACACAAGCCGTCATTTTCTTTCCTATTGCCCATCACGTCCACTCGTGTGTAATACCTATACCTTGCAATCAGCCCCGATAGATTGAGTCTAATTGACAGCAGTGTGTAATTAAGTTAATGAGGAGCTAATATTTATATATAGAGAGGTGTAGTTAATATATAACCTAAAGTAACACAGTCTCTTCTTCACAATGAATTTCTGTACATTAACTTATACTTTGCTTTACAGAGATTGCTACATATCTATCTATATACCTACACACTTACATTCTGGATTGGTTCATGGCTCAGAGGAAAAGGGGTGTTTTTATTTTTAGGGTGTGTGAGGTGCACTCGTTGAGTAATTGTGATGGTCAGACACACTTGACGGTAACGACCCCTTACTACCATGTGACCATTGACTGCCAGTTAGATTTCCCGACTGCAAGGGGTTAAATGACAGCTAATAAACATGTATGCCCTTCAACGTGTGGCGTAAATCCTTGGCAGAGGAAGACACGTGTGTGCCTCTTCTTATACATGATTTATATGTGTTATTTCTGTAGCTATACTGCTATCATTCCTATACTGTTTCCCATGTTGTATAGATGATTGTTAGTCTTTCCAATTAATCCTAAAGTGAGGATGGATGTTTTGAATGTAACACATCAGCCAGACACAAATTTATTTAGTAAGCCAAGAATTGTGAAAAACTGAGATGGGGATTGTACAATTTAGGCCAAAATAGCTCAACTTCAAAATTATATGAATTGAAGAACATTTCCAAATGAGCTATTTTGACTTATAATTCGCAATGTCTTAGTTAATCCTCCAAAATTTCCAGTTTAGTAAATACATTCCAATGTTATCATTAGCTGCAAGTATAGTAATTCTGTATAATAATAAAAAATGTAGGTTAGATCGGCAATATGTAAACATTGAGGAAGGTTTTCAACATTAGGTATTTTTCCTAAATTGTGCAATTCATCGATAGATGGATAGATATAGATAGATAGATACATAGATAGATAGATAGATAGATGGATGTATAGATACATAGATAGATAGATAGATAGATAGATAGATAGATAGACAGATAGAGAGAGATAGAGAGAGAGAGAGAGAGAGAGAGAGAGAGAAAGAGAGTATAGTAATTCTATATAATACATTTTTTTTTAGGTTAGATTGTCAATATATAAACATTGAGGAAGATTTTTCCAAATTAGGTATCCTAAATTGTGCAATTCACCGATAGATAGATAGAGATAGATAGATAGATAGATAGATGATAGATAGATAGATATATAGATAGATAGATCGATAGAGAGACAGAGAGAGAGAGAGAGATGGATAGATAGATAGAGAGAGAGAGATAGATAGATAGATGATAGAAAGATAGATAGATAGATAGACAGATAGATAGATAGATAGATAGATAGATAGATAGATAGATAGTATAGTAATTCTGTATAATACAAAACAATGTAGGTTAGATCGGCAATATGTAAACATTAAGGAGGGTTTTTCCAAATTAGGTATTCTTCCTAAATTGTGCAATTCACCGATAGAGAGATAGAGATAGATAGATAGATACATAGATAGATAGATTGATTGATTTTCTACCACTTGATACATTTTTTTGTTAATACATAATATAATACAGGGCTCGTTGATGGAACCCTGACTAAATCCTGTGCTTCCTGTACTCCTGTATTCAAGTAATGTGCTTGATCACGAGGACGTTGAATTGACATCTCAATATGCATTATGATAACTCTCAGACTTCCTATTGAAGGTCGTTCATGGAGCTGCAGCAATAATGACAGTTTGACCATTCTGTGCCTCTTTCCGAAAAGTGGTATCTCGGCTCAGGGCCAAACATGCATTGAATGTTCTCATTTCCTTAGGCATTCAATCTGTTTCAACAGGAATAGTAAACATTAGCAGTGTATAGATACTCTGTGCCATTATATAGAACAATAAGAAATGCGAGGAGGGAGGGTGAGAGAAGAATGCTGTAGAACGTTGTGAGGAGACTGAAAATGTCTGAAAGAGAATGACTGAGAGAAAAGAAGGTAGGAGGACGTGTGAAATGGGCATAAAGAAAGAAACAAGATTGATGGAATGAATTGAGAGTATAGAATAAAAAGAAAATAGCTGAATTGGGGCCTACTCTCCACTTATCCAGCCATCAGGATTAATCAAACCCTTTGGATGCATATCACAAGGTTACACTGTATATTACAACAAACAAGGTCTCACACATATTTGCTTCAGAGTGCTTTGATGACAATACTGAGATTGGATGAAGCATTTTTACTTAGCCCAAAGCCTCTCGCTCACTCGAAATCACTGTGAGTACGAACCAGACTTGGAGACTTGGGACATCATAGTGGCACTCTGCTTGTATTGGGTTATATAGGAATATAAAATATATTTTGTTAAAGGATTCATTTTTAAAAGGGGGTTGAAGGCTTTAGGGACAGTGAAAGTGGTTGGTATGAAAAATATTTCATAAGATTCTATGCTCTACCTCCTAGTCTTCCTCTTGCTCATAAATACTATCAGTCAGAGTGATTTTTAGAGAGCCCTTTGGTCTTCATAGTTTAAAGTTAACAAGGGAATAAACATAAATGAGAAAGAGGGGTGTTTTGACACAGGGCTGGTGAAAGAGATGTAAAGAAAGTCCCCCAAGACTTTGTATCCTTCATGGTCTTTGGCATCAAAAAAGCTAATTGTAGAACAAAAAGTGCTATTAACATTCTTCAGATTAGATTGGATTAGTTTAGTGGTATTCACTGCTGGTGACCCATAAGAGAAGAGTATTATATCTCGTAGTTAAACACCAGGTTGAAAATGACTCCATCCTCCATTCAGTTATTGGGGACTTGGGGACTTGATCCAATCTGCTACACATCAAATAAGAAAGATGGAGATGCTCATGGGACATATGTTGCAGGTATCTCAATTTATTTGCTTGCTTGCACCCCCCATTTTCAAAACCTATTTCAACAATTATAATGGTGTGGAACACCACTATAAAACGAGTGCTGAGAAAACAAGAGTTCTTGCAAATCTCATGTCAGGAGCTTCATTCTAATGGCTATCTATGGCCAATCATTTCAAGCTTGTTTCTGTCTTCTATGAAGTGCCTAACCCATCACTGATTCCTAAACACTTTGTATGTCTATATCAGGGGAAGGCAACCTTTGGCATTCCAGATGTGGACTACATTTCCCATAATGCTCCCATAATGCTTTTAAAGCCATTATGCTATCAAAACATCAGGATAGATATAGTCTACAATATCTGGTGTACCAAAGATTGCCTACTCTTGGTCTATGCAAATGTTTTAGCCAGAGCTGGGAGGATACTGCAAAAAAACTTGAATTTAAACCATGTTTGAACCTTACATGCTTTCTAAATTTCCATGAAAAGGTTTTCTCTTACTTTTATGTCTGATCGCATACCATTATCCCCAAAAGAGGGGACTTATTTTACAGATAGCAAGAGTTGGGCTTATTTTGTTATAGCACATATATTCAACCACAATGGTATTTAATCCCTTTAATTTAGTTTTGTTTTTTTTAATTATAGTGTGTTGAGGTTTTTAGTAAATAATGTAATTATTTTTTGCTTTTAAAGGTCAAAAAGCAGATTTCCATGAAGTAGCTTGAACGCTAGCCTCCACAGAATGCTAGTGCAGATGAAAAAAAATGGTTATAATGATTTTCATATATTTTTAGCAGTTATGGTTTATATATTACAAGGAGTGCATCACTTTTCTAATCTAGGCATGCTCTATTTTTGTGTCGGTGTATTTTTTACACATGTACCGAAACACACCCACATTCAGATTACATAGCATCTTCTCATTACACGTTGTATGTGTGCTAAAACAACACATTTTGATGCTTACAAACTCGGAATTTTTATTTCACAGTTTTTAAAACACAATCAACAAACAAACTAATGGTTTTTCACATTTTATTTATTTTTATTATTTTAATACTAATTTCTGCTACATATGTTTGCTTATTTATATTTAATCTGTGATTGCTATAGTCCAAAGTGTGAATCTGTGCTTCTGCAGGGAATTTACAATTTCTTTGTGTTCCATTCCTCTCAATAATTGCACAGCCCACCAGTGTGCTAATCTTAGTTTGTAATATCCTTCTTTTAGCCCGATGACTTCAGCTGCATATTAAAATATTTATTTTAGTGTTTATCCCTCACTTAGCAATCACTTCTTTTCTTCTCCTTAACACCCATCACAGATACCTAAATGGAAGAAGAAATGAAAAATAATCCATAGAGGATTATATATTGAAGGTGTAATTGTCAGCAACAAATTTGTCGAAACCATAGAACAATTTGCAGCTACTGAAGGCAATCAGGAGGTTGAAATTCTAATGAAATTAATTAAATTCAGTATCATCTTGGTAAGATGAGCTCTCAGTTGATTTGAATTATGCACATGATAGGACTGAATTGTATTCAGAATAATTATTGATCCTTCCCTGACATAAACCTGTCTTAGAAAAAGAAATACATACAAACAAACAAATAACTACATTTAAATAGTATGCAGATATTCCAAGGACACTCTATATGCAGTTAGGGGCTACTGCATTGCTTATCTTATTCATTCCTCATTCCGCAGCTATGTGAGAGATATTGTTAGAGATGTTGGCTTTGAAACTGCGCATCAACTCCTTGCCTAATGTGCAATGATGGAATAGGGATTATTTCAATAACAATAAAAAACCAAAAACACTCCAAACACCATAACCACTACCAGGCACTCTAGTGGTTATGGTCCCTAGTGCCTGGTGTAGCCTAGATCCCCTGCATTGTAAGTAGTCAAACCATTTTAGAACAGTTTAGCTTTTTACCTGGGTTCTGCCTGCACTGGTCCATACTGGCACTACATCCAACGGACAGCCGGAAACTCTCTATCTGAGCAGGCAGCTTCCTTCTCTCTAGCAGAAGTAGTGCAGGTGACACCACTCCTGACACCATAACCACTACATGGTGCTTGGAGGGTTTCTTTAATGTGGGGTCCTAAAGTCTTGCTATTCAGTGGGAGGGCGTTCGGGCACTCAGCATGTGGCAAGGTGGCAATCTTCAAGTACAAGCCATCATTCACATCTTTACAATAGTTAAAATCTGATTATTTTATATATTTCCATTAAAAATTAACAAACTCACAAAAAAAAAAGAAGAAATAATTATTAAAAAAAAATCCAAAATGAAGAAGGAAGGTCTTATGTATCAAACGTATCACTAACGGAAATTTTAACTCTAGCAAAGAAATGTGTGCTGCCTTATGTTGGTGAGATTAATGACTAGGAAGGATTGACCCTCCTGATGACAACACCATACGTGGTGAGAGAATGGACATTGTTTCTGTATCAACTTTGAATATAACTTAAAGGAACACTATAGGGTCAGGAATGCAAATGTGTATTCCTGACCCGATAGTGTTAAAAACACTATGTAGCTTCCCAGCACGCCCTTAACCACCTTAAATAGGATAAAAGTTCACCTTTATTCCAGCGCTGCACGGGCCTGTCAGCGTTTGAAAAAAGCTGGAATAAAGTGCAACCTCTTTGCCTGAGATCAGCAAAATTGACAATCTCTGGCAATCCAATACTTTCCCATGTTAAAGCATCGGATTGACTGAGGTTGTCAATTCTGATGATCTCAGCCAAAGAGGAGGGCGGAGAAGACAAACTCCACACTGGCCAATCAGCATTTGAATCAATACATCTCTATGGGGAAAGTTCAGCATGGAGAGACTGAGCGTCAGTGCTGCTTGTTGTGCACTGACCCAGGAAGCACCACTAGTGGCCATCTGAGTGACTGCCACTGGAGGTGTCTCTGCCTGAAAAGGCAGTGTTTAAATTAAAAAGCCTCCAGGGACTTACTATAGACACCATAACAAAAACATAAAGCTGTAGTTGTCCTGGTGACTATAGTGTGCCCTTAAATATGTTCAACTTTGTTACTAGCGAATTGGTGTTGTTTAGAGTAATAGGTACAGATGATCCCCCCCAGCAAACTTCTCCCACCACCTATATTATAAGCTCAGTACATACCTTTCTGGCAGTATTAGTGACAAACCCACAGTACAGTGCCAAGGCGTTGCCCAGACCACCTGGACTTAGGTATCCACCAGCGAAAACATCTAAGCCCCAATCAATGTCCCATATTTGTACATAGATACAGTTCATTAGCCTTCTCATATCCTCTCCTTTTTATATATAAAATAACCTGTAAAATAAAACATTTTATTGCTGAGCATATTCAGAACTGGCGTAATCTGAATATTTCTCTGAATAATTTAAAATTAAGAATATCCTTTAAAATGCTGATTGTCATGACTATTGTATGAACAAAGAACGGGCAGCTTTAACGCAGACAATTCAGGACCACCAGAGTCATAGCTGAAAGTATGATTAACTAAGCTGTTTCAGCCAATCACCCTGCATCCCTAGATTCTGTTTCTCATGATTTTTTTTTCCCAGTGTCACCTCCTTTAGCATATCAAGTGGGGAAGAACACAGTGCGACATCTGTGGAACCTACCATGGTAGGACAGTCAGTGACCCACACAGTTTGTTAACCCCGTTACCTCCTGCGCATGAGATGAGGGAAGAGGAGGGAGGTGGTCCTGGGGATAAACCAACATCCACTTATATGGATCCAACCTGACAAATTAACAGGGTTATTTACTGAAGTGATAATTAAAAGGGGTAATTCCATATTTTTGGCCAGGACAGCTGCTCTAATAGTTGACAAATATTTTTTGCAATTTGGCTATTTTGGCTTTGAATTTGAAATTTACTTTGAAATGTCGTCACTCTAGTGAATAACTTTAGTGTGTGTTTTTTTATTTTTTATTTTATTTGCATTTATTTCTTCATTTTGCCTGTAATGCTTAAATTTTCTGGCTTATCTTTAGCAGAGACCAAACTCCTTCAAATGTGCCTCCGATTTCCCAGTCGTAGAGCAGTTAATCTGGCACATTTTTTTCTGGGATTGTAGTCTGAAGACAATATGCACCATGATTAATGAAGTAGGACATCATGGGATTTTAATACTTTGTTGTCCATGGTGTGCCAGTAATATAAAGTCTTAATTTTTAAGCTGTGCTACAACTAAGATTTGTCAGCAAAATCCAGCGTGAGTAGGAAAGGAAGAGATTGAAAAATAAAACCATTAACTATATTAATTTGTCTTTGTTTTTGTTTCTATATAATATATAGTTTTTAAAATAATAGAAATTGAACATGCATTAAAAAAAAAAAGGAATAACGATCATGCATAGGTTTCGGTGTTTCAGGTATCATTGTTTGAAGTTGTTGATAATTACATTTACCTATCTAAAAATATATCAAATTACCATAACATATATCTGAATATCAGGAAACAACAGATATCACCACAAACAAATCACACACGTTCACTAATATGTGCCATTGTCGTGCAGTTAATATTATTTTGTGACAAATAAGAAATACTAGATATATATATATATATTTAAAAATATTAACATATTTTCATATATAGTATTGTGTGTATATATATATATATATATATATGTATATGATTAGTATTTCTTATTTGGCGCAGTCTGTTTTTTCTATATTTTTTTCTTTATTCTCCTTGGGTTACTAGGATATCCAAGTAACAGACCTTATTCTGCAGCCTTTGGAGTTAGCACTGTATCTCCCCTTCTTTTTTCCGCCCCGTATTATTATTTTGTTTTCAGATCCAGCCTAGCCTTGTGATAGAGTTAAGAATCTTATCTGAACATCTCCAAAAGACAATACTATCTATTCACGACTTTTTATATTATTTACTAATTTCATCCATGTTTAATGAAAACAAGAATTTATCAAATCCAAAGGTGATTTCTAAAACTATAAAGTCCGCCCTCAGTATTTGTCCGTTGACCCATCCATTGAAATGTGAGTGGGCTAATTTTGGCAGAGGTTCTATCAATTTGAGATGGTTTGACTAATTTGGTTCTAACAACTAAAATTCAGAGTTAAATCAATGTAAATTTCAAATGAAAGGCCAAAGTAGCTAATCTAGATGTATATTGTATACCTGATTCAGAGAATTCCTCCAAAATGTTTTTTTGGGTCTTAAATTAGAAATTTACTTTGAATTCTTGCTTTAGGGAATAACCCGGCATGAGTTTTAACTTAAGATAGAGCTTAGTACCCAAAGCCTACAGAGGTTCTTACATCATCCTCATCCATGTGAGAATGTTCTGCTGCAGTTATTGATGAAGGAACATCTTGAATTTTTGGAGCATGTGAGCCTATAGATTTGTCTTAAGCTATAAGCACTCTGGTAGTTTTCTTAAAAGTTTTCTTTTCAACTCGGCGTATTCACTTTCCTGTAGATTGTTCCAGAAGAGAGTTTGGAACCTTATAGGATGTGTGTTTTAATGCAATCTTATCAGATGTCGCAATATCCGGCATTAGGAGTGAATTTTTACTCCTCTTGTTCTTTTACCCTAAAATAATAAAGTTCAGGTAATTGTAAGGGATGGAGATCAAATAGTCAATGTACCATGAGTTCCAGGCTGTCGCAACCTAATTAATTATTATTATTTTATTATTTATATAGTGCCAGCAAATTCCGTAGCACTTTACAATGGGTGGAATAACAGACACGTAATTGTAACCAGACAAACGGATGCACAGGAACAGAGGGGTTGAGGGCCCTGCTCAATGAGCTTACATTCAAGAGGGAGTGGGGTATTGTGACACAAAGGGTGAAGTAGGGGTAATGAAATAGGTTGCTAAAAAAGTATTCACTGAGAACTTAGTAGGTTATTTTTGATAGTTGCAGGAGAGGAGTCATGGGGGGGATTTGCTTTCCTTAAGAAGTTTTCAAAGATTTTTTGATGGAATGGAGACTGGGTGAAAGTCTAACAGAGAAGAGAAGGAAGTTCCACATAAAAAGTGCAGGCCTGGAGAAGTCTTGAAGGCAAGCATCAGATGTGGGAGTACAGACAGAGAATAGGCATAGGTCTTCAGCAGAAAGGCGGGGCCTCGACGGGACATATTTGTGTATTAGGGAGGATAGGTAGGTTGGAGCAGCATTATGTAAAGACTTGAAAGCAAGTACCAGAATCTTAAATATAGTCCTATATCTAACTGGAATCCAATGTAGGGACTGACCAAGGTGGGGAGGCGTGGGAGGTGCAGGCGGACAGGAAAATGAGCCTCACTGCCGCATTTATTATAGATTGCAGCGGTGCAATCTGGGAACACGCAAAACCACTGAGAAGGGGATTGCAGTAGTCAAGGTGAGAAAGAACAATGGCATGGACCTGTTAAATAAGGGCAGATGCAAGGTATGCTTTTGAGATGGAAGTGGCAGGATTTGGTGATCGACTGGACATGAGGGGTGAAGGAGAGGTTGGAGTCAAAGAGAACATCTAGAGGTGATGGTGGTGCTGTTGATTTGGAGACAGACAGACACGGGAGTAGCAATACTTGAGGGAGGAAAGACCAGAAGTTCTGTTTTGGACAGATTGAGTTTAAGGAGGTGAGCAGCCATCCTGTTGGAAATCGCAGAGAGGCAGTCAGAGACACGAGTCAAGATGGGCGGAGACAGAACAGGAGAAGACAGGTAGATCTGCGTGTCATCTGCACATAAATGATAATGGAAGCCAAAGGAGCTGATGTATTTACCAAGATAGAGAACAGTAGGGGACCAAGGACAGAACCTTGGGGAATGCCAACAGAAAGGGGTTGGGAAGAAGAGGCAGATAAAGATATACTGAAAATGCACTGGGAGAGGTAAGAGAAGCACTAGGAGAGGGCAGTATCCCGAGACCGAGATTACGGAGAATGAGAAGAAATGTCAAAGGCAGCAGAAAGAGCAAGGAGAATTAGGATAGAGTAATGGCCGCAAAATTTAGCAGCGATTAAATCATTGGATACTTTGGGCAAAGCTGTTTAATAGAGTGACGAGCGCGGAATCCAGACTGAAGTGGGTCAAGCAAATCTTTGAGGCAAATGGCAGTAGCGATATAGGGCGGTAGTTGGATGGGGAGTTGGGGTCAAGGTTGGGTTTTTTCAGAATCAGCGTTATGGTTGCATGCTTGAAGGGTAAAGGAAATGTGCAGGAGGAAAGGGAGAGATTGAAAATGTTAGTGAGAGGAAGAGCAAGAGAGGGAGACAGAGTGCGGTTGAGACATGAGGGAATAGGATTGAGGGAACAGGTGGTGAGGTGGGAGGACCGGAGCAGAGCAGAAACCACTTCCGTTGTAGTAGGTGCAAATGAGCATAGAATAGCGGAGGGAGTAGGGTTGGGTGATGTATTGGAAGGGGAGGGAGAGAGGCTAGAGATCTCTTCCCTGATTGTAATAAGGCATCCCACTCAATATGACATATCAACAAGATTAGCATTGCCTGTCAAGGATGTAACAGTGAACAAGGGGGTATTTCTGTATGAACAAAAGGGGTATATTCACATGAAGTACATATTACACTGTACTAAAAAGAAAAAAAAACTTGCTCACTGGAAAAAGGAAATTTAAAGTGGTTCTGTGAAAGGGAACAGGTTGTGTTTTTTTTATTGTGTTCCCCTCCTCCTTTTCCCTTCAACCATTTTTTTTTCTGTAGGTTCCTCATTCTTTTCTTTGAAGAGTGCTTTGTTTTTAGCACCAGATCCCAGTTCTATTTGGTGTCATCTTCATAAGCCTGGCAGTGACATGTTGTAACTGTCTTCTTCTGGCCTTTCTTCTCCCCTCTTTCTGGTCCCACATGTGTTGACATTAAAGCTTGCTTTCCATGCATATAACACCAAAAGCAAAGGGAATAGTTCTGTGCATGCGGGGAAGGACTAAGGACTGAGGATATAGTGCGAGATTATAGACGATGGACATGGCAGGTGAATATTGTGGGGGAATGGAACTTGACAAATCTTGACAAAGGAATGGAGATTGCCTTAAAGGACCACTCTAGGCACCCAGACCACTTCAACTTAATGAAGTGGTCTGGGTGCCAGGTCCTTCTAGGGTTAACCCATTTTTTCATAATTATAGCAGTTTCAGAGAAACTGCTATAATTATGAATGGGTTAAGCCTTCCCCCTAATCCTCTAGTGGCTGTCTCATTGACAGCCACTAGAGGCGCTTGCGTGCTTCTCATTGTGATTTTCACAGTGAGAGCCAGCGTCCATAGAAAGCATTGTAAATGCTTTCCTATGAACGGCTGAATGCGCGCGCAGCTCTTGGCGTGCGCATTCAGCCGTAACGGAGGAGAGGAGAGGAGAGCTCCCCGCCCAGCGCTGAAAAAGGTAAGTTTTTACCCCTTTCCCCCTTCCAGAGCCGGGCGGGAGGGGGACCCTGAGGGTGGGGGCACCCTCAGGGCACTATAGTGCCAGGAAAACGAGTATGTTTTCCTGGCACTATAGTGGTCCTTTAACTCTGCCTTTTGTCCAGATTTGTCGAACATAGGAAAAATATTAACAAAAATATCAGATATGAAAAAAAGAAAAACAAATTCAGAGAGAGGAAGAGAAGAGTAAATGACTGGAGAAAGGTAAGTTGGGATTGACAGAGCAGAGCTGAAGAGCTCTCAAAACTATGAACTGGAATATATCCTATCTATAAGTAGGATACTAGGAGATCTTAGGAAATGTTTGAGCAATGTGTCCAGAGAAGACTAAAATGTCCTACCAGTTCTACCTACAGAGTTATCCTTGGGGAGGCGGATTGCTCTATCATTGCAGAAAATATGGATAATCACTAACAGAAGGTTTTCAGTTGTACAATAGTCATTAAGCCATTATAAAAGTCAATTGAATCCGATTGATTTTTAATTGGAATTTGCTGAGATACTGTGATATTAGTGGATAACTACGGAGTATTTCGCTTATGCTTTGAAGTAATTTAGGCCAGTTGAACTTAAGAATTATCCAACACTGTGTAATGTGTAATTTTCCAGATTGTCCTTTTATTAGACATAGCGTGTCTCAATAAATACTACACCTCCAGCTATTTTTCCATCCGGCTTATTAGTTACACTACTAAACATATAACTCCCTAGAGTGGGAATGTTCACAGCTAAGACAGGTTGATGAGACTGGCCAAGACTAGCTGAGTGGACAAAGGAATTATAAAATGGATTTTCAGAATTTTTGGGCTCTCTGTGTAAATAAATCTGAAATTTTACAAAGTATAAGGTAG